TGGAGTCTTGATAATCTGCCTCACCAACAGGGTCCTTTACCTGCCTGCTCAACTCAGTTGGTGGGGTTAGAGATGGTTGGATATCTTTTTGGAAAAAGGTTGGAGTCCTTAACTGTTAGAGCTGAAATTGTGAGAAACAATCAGAGCTAAAAGAGGGAGATAACCTTGTTATAACCTTTGGAGTGTGGCTTTTAGCATTCTGCAATTTCAGAGGTATTCCCAGCCTTCTGACAGTGACGCGACCAGAGCTGTGACAGAAAACCTAGCCCAGAATTAGGTTGTCATGTGGTTCCTTTATTCAGTCAACAAATATTTAAAAACCTACTGTGTACCTTGAATGTTCAGTTAAATCAAGCTGAACATTTTACTAATTAAGAGCTTAAATTTATTACCAGGTCCATTCTCAGCCCTACTCTGTTTCCAGCCCTTATTTTCTGCAAGGGACAGCTATTTAGAATGCATCAAGATTTGGGGCCTTTCTTCCCTCTAGGAATTTTTATCTATGTAGAATGAGACTGAGTTTTTTGATTCTCTGAGCATAGTAGAAGTAAAAGCCACAACATTTATTGGATGAGTAAGCTAATGGAGGCAGAAAAGATAGATTTATTCATTTGTTCTCTTTATAGATTTAACAGATATTTCCTTTGATTGTTATGTGTACTTAGCACTTAATTAGGTGCTGGATATATAATGTTTTTGTTGTTGTTGTTAGTTGCTTTGGCGTTGATTCTGACTCATGACGACCCCATATGTGCAGAATAGAACTGTTCCATAGGGTTTTCAGAGCTGTGACCTTTCAGAAGCAGATCATCAGGTCTGTCTTCCAAAGTGCCTCTGGGGGGGTTCGAATTGCCAACCTTTCGGCTAGTAGAACGTTTAACTGTTTGCACCACCCAGGGGCTCTGGATATGTAATGGTGGAGCTTAATATCCTGTTGATGTTGTAGAATCTATGTAGTTTAGAAGAAATAAAGATAGGAGAATTGTATTTGTATTCTCCTAAGCAGCCTGGGCATTTCAATTGTCTTTGAGTAGTTCCCTTAGTATAATTTTTCTTCTTTTATAACCTTCATCCTGACTAGGGAAGAGGGTTAGGGAAAAGACACTTTGAGAGAGAATGAGCCTCAGTGCACGCTGTAGCTTGTTTGAGTCAGAGTTCCATGGGAAGCTTGTTACTGGGGCTGTCAGAATGGATTATCCTGACAGGGGAAGAGGGCATCTTAGTTTTGTGGCATGGCCCTTGGAACTCTGTATTTGGTGTAGGAAGAAAACTTAGCCAGAGGAGGAGTTTTTAAATATAAAGTTAAACAAAGCATCCTTCCTTGCAGTGTCAGGAACTGGGAGTAGGGAAAACTTTTGGAACTTTCCTCGAGTATAGGGCAGCTTTTGTATTAGAGCAGGGTTTCTCAACCTTGGCTCTGTTGACATTTTGGGTAGGATAATTCTTTGTTGGGGGTGGGGGTGCTGTCCTGTGCAGTGTAGGATATTTAGTAGCGTCTCTAGCCTCTACTCATTAGCTGCCACACCTTTGGACATTACCAGATATCCCCTGGGGGGCAAAATCATCCTGGTTGAGACCACTGTATTAGAGTATGGTGGGTGAAGACAGAGATGTGTAGAGTTGAGAAATATCCTCCATAACATTCATAATTATAAAGCTAAAATATAGTGGTATGGTTTATTTGGTATACGGTAAAAGTTGACTTTACTATTTAATGAAGATAAACGTTTATAAATCTCTCCCCATCCATTTAAAAAAAAAAATTAGAAACCTCCCTAGTAGTGGAATTTTGGTGTACTGTATGGGAAGAATGGGCCAAAGTGCTACAGGGACTACCAAAGTGTCCAGCTGGAGTGTTTTACTGTGTCTTGTATTTTCTGGAGTAGCCTCAAAGGCCGGAGGATTAGGATTGGTCAGAGCACCTGCAACAGTGTTGAAATCTGTAATATTTATTTCAACACTTTGTGCATTGTCAGCCTTTTCTGTTAAAACCATGTCACAGGCTCACAGAGCAGTAGCTTTTTGTGACTGAGAGAAAAGCAGCCTATTTGGCCATGTGGCAGGGCTTTGCTGCTTCATGCTTAAGGGGCAGTGCCCCTTAACTCTTATAAATGAAACATAGGAGCTCTTAAGAGATCCATTTACATACAACTGGGACTGGGCGGGTGCTTGCCTGATTATACTTCCTGGTCATGAGAGCTGTCTGCTATTTTGGGGGTTGGGAAGTGACCGATGTCTTTTTTCATTTGGCCAAAATCCTATTCGTTCAAAGGAAAACACCCTCCTTTGCTTTACTGTTCTTCTTACTGGCTCTGGATGGGAGGACAAAATTACCTTCAGGCTGTATCGTGAAAAGCATCTTGGGTAGGAAGGTTAAAATGAAATAACCCTAGGTTTATTGCTGAGAGGAGCACTTCACATTTTCTTTGCATTCCCATACTAAGATCCCATATTTGTGTGACATCTGAAATCAGGAGTCCAGTTACATATAAGGAAGTCTGGCTTAGGGGGGACCATCCCTAGTTTTGTAGTATCTCCCATACTGGTAGTGTATTTATATTATATGTAGGCCTTTGAATCTGATTATCTTTTGTAAAACTAAAAAAAAAAGTAGCCTTTACTCTGTCTAATAATAATAGTTAATATTTATTGAGTGCTTGCTGGGTGACAGTCACTGCTCTGTTCTTTATATAGATTATCTCATTTAATTCTCACAAACCCAGAAGTAGGTACTAAAATTTTTACATACCGTGAACTGTGGTTCATCAAGGTTAAGGAATTTGTCCAGAGTCACACAGCTAGTAAGCAGTAGAGCTGGGATTCAAACCTGGAGCTCACTACATTGTGCTGACCTCACTGCACAGCACAAAGAGTATTTTAGGTGTCTAGGGAGCATCTTGTAAATGAAGTGATTATGGTTCTGGTGACCCTTTAGTAGCAGCTGATGGGAAAACAGATCAACAGACCTCAGGCACCAGATAACTTCCCATTCCTTTTACTTATCTTGATTTCTGTGAGCCGTCTCATTAGTATGTAATGTATAAAACAGGAAATACTGTTCTTTCCCAGAACAGCAGAGAGAAGGTCACTTGTTTCTTCTTGGATTCAAATAGAGAATGGGAAAATGAACTTCGGCCTATCATTGAGTGGGAGGATATAGTTGAGTGCACTGGTGGGAAGCTGGTGCGAGTGAGTGAGTAAGCTAGGGAGGTGTGATTGTGCATAAAACTGGATGGAGATGGGGGGATCAGATGAGATTGGCTTTCCAGGACTTCTGAAATGAACTACTGAAAGTCCTCTTTGCTCTGTGATGTAAGCTTTAGAAGGACCCTGCAGTAAAGATTAGGGAACCAACTTTCCTCCTTGAGATCTCTTTCATTTCAGAAAGATCACTCATGTTATGATGCTTATGAGTCTCCTTCCTGCTGAGGAGTGGCCTTAAATAAACTATAGGAAAATCCTGGAGGACCTTGAGATCTTTTCTATAGAGACCTGGTTTCTTTATTGATGCATAACAAGTTTAGGTCTGTTCGTTATTTTAGAGTGAAATGAAAGTCCTGTGTAGGAGGTAAGTCAGTCTTAAAAACTTTTTTCCTTTAAAGCAAAAAAATACACACTACTTTTTTTGTCTTTTTAAGAGATTATTTAAAATATCACCTACCAACCAACCCACCCGGTGCCATTGAGTCGATTCCGACTCGTAGCGACCCTATAGGACAGAGTGTAACTGCCCCATAGGGTTTCCAAGGAGCGAGTGGGGGATTCAAACTGCTGACCTTTAGGTTAGCAGCCATAGCTGTTAACCACTGCACCACCAGAGCTCTGTAAAATATCACCTAGGTGTGCTTACTGCCTCGTTTTAGGAACTTGACAAAGAAACCTTTCTGTCTGAGTTCTTCTGCCCCCTTTTTCATGTCTCATATATCAAGGTAGTATGCACTAAGTACATCACAAGTAACCTGATTGATACATTGGACTTTACCAATAATTCTGGCTTCTGCTGCCTATCTTTCTTCCCTCTTCTCTGCTCTATCAGAGTTAAATTTATTCTGATCAAGGGCTTCACTTCTCATTATTACTAGTGGTATGTCACCTCATATTAGAAGAGGGCAAAAGCTTTTTAACCCTACCACCCCTTAATGAGCCACTGCACTTCTTTGCAGTGCTGTTCTCTCCATGAGACTTTACATCTAAACCACAAAACCAAAATATTAGGAAGTACTATAATAGACATAACCGAATAATATTTTCTGGGACACCCTCTTATTTAATGATTTTCCATCTCTGACATTTTTCTGATCTGTGTTCTTGGAGAGCATATTATTTCTCATGAATAAGGAGTAGGAGTTTTGCTGGATCCTTTGGGTTTTGCCATTTTGGTCACTTTTCCTGAAATGTATTCTTTTCAAATCCTTTTACTAATGTAATTGTACTCTCTTCTTCAGATGTGTAGGGCCATGATTTAGCCGTTTAGCTCAAGATATATAATAACAAAATAAAGCATGGTGTATATCAGATATACTTTTCCTGCCAACACCACCATCTCCATGGCTTCCTGTCAGAAAGATGCTTTGAGAATCTTCTGTGGCCCCTAGGAGTGGGACTCTGGCCTTATTTTGAGAAAAAGATGAAAGGATGGAGAATGTTAATTATTAGAGCTCTGATACCTGACATAGAGTGGTAACCTGGGCTGGGCTGGGACTCAAGGGTTTGATGGGGGGAGGCTTACAGAGAGGGAGGACTCCTCTGTGGGTTTTGTCACTAACTCTTTTTATCTCTACAAGGGCCAGGCTGGCTTTAAAAGACTTATTTCTGTAGGGCCATTGGTTGGTTAGGATTATATTTCCTTCTCTTTTCTCAACTGCCTTCCCCTCCCCCCATAGTACTTAAGTAGAGAAGGGTAAGCAGATGGAGGAATGGGGGCCTTCCCTCTAGAAGATTCCAGGTATCACGACCTTGTTTAACCGCCAGTATTTTTTTTCCTCTCTCCTCTCCTACAGAAATGGAGGCAAACGACCATTTTAACTTTACTGGCCTTTCCCCTGTACCTGCTGCCTCAGGACTGAAACCCTCTCCTTCTTCAGGGGAGGGCCTCTACACTAACGGGTCTCCCATGAACTTCCCCCAGCAAGGGAAAAGTGAGTGTGAGGGCCGCGGCCTAGGGAGGGAGTGGGCATCATTCCTTTAGAGCAGGTTGATGGGAGAAGATTTGGCTCCCTTATGGACTAGCTAACCCCACAACAACTCTTTCCTGCCAGGAGGGGAGGGAGGAAGTAAATCCACAGAACTCCAGCTGCTGGAAAGAAATCAAGCTTCTAAGAAAAAATTCTACGAGTTTATGGAAGCAACACTTTTAGTCTTGACTTAAGATTTAGGGGTTAGAAACACATACTAGCTTTTTTATCTTAGCCTGCTCTTCCATCAGCCCTGTTCCCTGGCTACTGCCAGAGAGTGGTTTTATGGGTACTGCTGCTGATAACCAGGTTGGACCCATGAAAGAGAAACATAAAGGGCTAGCCCTCTGAGAAGCTTTTTTTAGAGGCTGGAGAAGCCTCATTGGGCTAGAACTGGGGGTGGGGGTTGCTTTGGGTGAAGGTTGGGGATGTGTTTGCCTTTTAGTTTGTTTGTGCGGCAGAGAAGAGGGCAGATGCTAGAAGTGCCTGTGCCACCTCCCTCCTGTACTTGAGGATAGAAGGTAGGGCCAAAGGAGGGTTTTAGTGCTTACCTAGTTCCCCAGAGAGAAACATTTATAATTCTCCATGGAAGTTGACTGCCAGGATCAGGTCTTATCCTGGATTTGGCTTATCAGTTGCTCTGTACCATGGCTCTGCCAAGTACCTCTCTAATCTTGCTTGGTTTTCAGGCACTTTATGCTTGGAAGCAGGGAGAAGCCCACCTGCATCCCATCTTCCTTGCAACAGAAAAATACTGCGAGAGGCTTATACTTACCACTTCCCCCTCCTGTCCTCTACAAGGAAGTTGCAGAGATAGAAGCTGTTTTATTTCATTGGAGTTTTTTTCCTCAGCTTCCTTAGTATCCTGATTCCTTTTATTTGATTGTCCTCCAACCCAGAGGTTGCCATTGATGTTGAGAGCTGCAGCACTGGTCATGCTAAGGTTCCCCCTCCCCCACAAGCAAATTACCCTCCAGTGCCTATGGGGAGGGGCCAAGCCCAGCCTCCTGAGCTGGGATCTTGTCACTGTAGTGACTGCAAATTCTATTCTTAGCCCAGCACAAAGTGCTGGATCTGCATGTGCCAGTGAGGTGGAGGCTGTCCCTTCTGGTGCCACTGCAGGGCCACACAGGCACGAGGGAAAAGGAGGGCCTGGAGAATTCAGTCATGCACCCTCCTAAGGGAAGAATTACCCTAGCGAATAAGGGCTGGGAAGAATGCAAGTCACTATAGAGAGTCTGCAAACAGCTTTATTTAAAAAAAAAAAAAAAAAAAGCCCTGAGCATAAGCAGCAGCCAGCTTTTTGCTGGTGGCTCCCATGGTAGGCCAGGATAGCTCCCAGCCCGCTACTTTGCAGCCTCAGCAGCAGTTGCTAAGCTTACATGCAGGAGCATCTGGGTTTGGTGTTCCCTGGAGACTGAAAAGCCAAATATAGCAGCCAGGGAATCCTCCTCCTTTTCACCTTCCCTTTTTCTAGTCAGTGCTGTTACTTTGAGGTTCTCTTGGTAGAGTTAACTTGCATGCATATCTGTAACTGACTCTTTTCCCTCCTCTGCCAGGTTTGAATGGGGATGTGAATGTTAATGGCTTATCTACTGTATCTCACACTACTACTTCAGGGATTTTGAACTCTGCTCCCCACTCCTCCAGCACCTCACACCTCCATCACCCCAGCGTGGCTTACGACTGTCTCTGGAACTACTCACAGTACCCATCCGCCAATCCTGGCAGCAACCTCAAGGACTCATCCCTTCTCTCCCAGTTCTCTGGGGGACAATACCCACTCAATGGCATCCTTGGGGGCAGCCGGCAACCTTCATCCCCAAGTCACAACACTAACCTTCGGGCTGGGAGCCAAGAGTTCTGGGCCAACGGTACCCAGAGTCCCATGGGGCTTAACTTCGACTCACAGGAACTGTATGATTCCTTTCCTGACCAGAATTTTGAGGTGATGCCCAATGGACCCCCTAGTTTTTTCACCTCCCCACAGTCTTCTCCTATGTTGGGATCCAGCATCCAGACCTTTGCACCCTCCCAGGAGGTAGGCAGTGGTATCCATCCTGATGAGACGGGAGAAAAGGAGCTGACTTCAGTGGTGGCAGAGAATGGCACTGGCTTGGTAGGCAGCCTGGAGTTGGAAGAAGAGCAGCCAGGTATAACTGTGGGTTTGTGAGCTGGGTGGGGAAAGGGAAAATGGGGCTGTGGGGGGCAGTGGCTTTTTGAGGTGAGGAAAACTTGTCTTTCCAGCTCTCTGCAGTGGAGGCTGATTTGCATGTTGGTGATTAGCAGAGCCAAATGGCTGGTGTTTTTGTGGCAGCAGCACCAGCTCGCGAGTGGGAGTGCAAATTATTTCAAGCTCATGCAGAGCTGCTGGCCTGGAGAGGGCAGGTGGGCGAGCCTGAAACAGCCCCAACAGACACCCTGCATCAAGAAGGGCTTCTTCCAAAATACAGACGGGGGTTGGAGCATTAGCCGTGGGCGTTGAGGCCATTTTGAGAGATTATGACAGGGTCACACTGGCTGCTAAACTGGGCTGAGCCCTAGTAGTGATTGGCACGTGAAGGAGGGAAGGAAGCAGGCCGAGCACACCATTGCTTGTCTACTCACAGTTTCTTTTTGTTGTTGTTGTTGACGCTGGTACATGTGACAGTCCCTCTCATCTTTTTCCTCAAAATATATAAAAGCTTAGCTTGCAATTGATTCCAAGTACAAGGGTGACCACCCTGTAAAATCACAGGATGTTTTCTCTGTTTATCGTCTATTCCCACTGGATGGGGGAGTTATCTGAGAACGTGGTGGGGCTGTTGTCTCAGACCCCACTCTCCTTTCCCCTCTCTTTGCCTGCCGTAGGATTTTTACCAGCACATCTCTGCTTACTTTGAGTATCTTGGTTTGATCAGTACCCAGCATAGAACTGGCTCCCTGGCAGCAATAAATATTGAATGAATGAACATCCCTCTAGCAAAGATTGACTACCTTCTATATCTAAATGAACCAGTTGAAGGCAATGATTTTGACTTTTGCCCTCTTCTGGGATTTCCCAGAACTGAAGATGTGTGGCTATAATGGCTCCGTCCCCTCTGTGGAATCATTGCACCAAGAGGTCTCAGTCCTGGTCCCTGACCCTTCAGTGAGCTGCTTAGATGATCCTTCACACCTTCCTGATCAACTGGAAGACACTCCAATCCTCAGTGAAGATTCTCTGGAGCCCTTCAACTCTCTGGCACCAGGTGGGCTTACAGGCTGGATTCTTCCAGCTTATCCAAGTAGAGGGTAGCCAACTATCTACTACCTGGAAGAGATAGTAAACCAGGGAAAGTACTAGGGAATCGGGGGTATTGGGGCCTCCACTGTTCCTGTGGCGGATCCCAGTTACATGCCACTGGCCTGCCTGGGCCAACTGCACTCTGAGCTGAATTGGTTCCTTTCCCAGGTTCTCTCCCATTGTTCCTTTTTGCCAAGAGCCCTGGCCTGTAATAATTCACTGGATAGGGACTTAATACCACATAGTTGGGCTATTTGGGTTCTCACCAGCTAGGAAGAGAAAAAGCATTTACCAGTGAACAATTACCTTTTATCCCACTGAAGTATAAGAATGTTTTATGATACTAGAATTTTGCATTAGTCTGTGAGTTCATATAGGATCAGTGCCTTTCCCTTCATTTCCACCTCAAGCTCTAATGATCCCTATAGTCTGGTAGCTTTATGCTTTCAGGGAGAGGGCTGAAAATTTTCCCTAGTTTAATATTAGAAAGAAACTTCACACTGTGGGAATTAGAATTGGATATTTTCAGAGTAATATTCCTTAAAGGAATCTTACTTTCTGATTTTTGCTTAATATCCTGCTTTCTGATTTTTTTCCACCACCATGTACAGAGCAAGTGAGTGGAGGACTCTATGGTATAGATGATACAGAGTTGATGAGTGGAGAGGACAAGCTGCCTCTGGAGGACAGCCCTGTGATTTCTGCCCTTGATTGTACTTCACTTAATAACACCACTGCCTTCAGTCTCCTGGCAGATGATAGTCAAACTTCAGCCTCTATCTTTGCCAGCCCGACCTCTCCACCTGTCTTAGGGGAGTCTGTCCTGCAAGGTAAGTGAGGAGATGTGGCACAAAGAAAGTAGCACTTGACCTAGGAAAAGATGAGAGGATAGATCCTATCGTTAGGGCCTCAGGGGTGGGAAATCTATGAGATCACCTTGCTGGGAACTGAGGGGGGTATGAGACAGTGTGTGGTGGAACTAAAAAAGGCACAGATCACTATACTCTGACCTCTGCCCTATGCCCAGAAGAGCTTGTGAGACTTGGAGTTTACAGGAAAAAGGAGTCCAGAGGCCCTACTGATCCAGGTAAAAGACATTTCTTCATACAGTGACAGCAGCAGCAGCAGCTTTACCCTTTAACCTTCATGAACGGTCGGAGAGGAAAGCAGAAGTTATTTGTCTTTTTCCAACCCTAGAGAAAAGCCCTTGAAGTAATCCTGTTTAGCTTAGTCCACGTTTGACTGAGTAGCAAACGGTCGGAGAGGAAAGCAGAAGTTATTTGTCTTTTTCCAACCCTAGAGAAAAGCCCTTGAAGTAATCCTGTTTAGCTTAGTCCACATTTGACTGAGTAGCATCTCTTGTTTTGAGTGACACCATTTTTCCTTTACCCATCCTGTCCCTTTGGATTCCAGATAACAGCTTTGATCTGAATAATGGTAGTGATACAGAACAGGAAGAAATGGAGGCTCAGGCTTCTGACTTCCCACCACCCCTGACCCAGCCAGCCTCTGACCAGCCATCCACTATTCACCTACACACAGCAACCTCACCAGCAGTATCACCAACAGTGTCCCCGGAAATCTCCTTGGCAGTTTCTCCAGCAGCCTCTTCGGAAATCTCTCCAGAAGTCTCCCCAGCAGTCTCTCCAGCACCCTTCCCAACAGTCTCTCCAACTTCCTCAGCAGCACCCCCAGCAGTCTCCTCAGAAGTCTCCCTGACAGCTTCCCCAGTGACCTCCCCAAAAACCTCCCCTGCAGCTTCCCCAGCAGCAGCCTCCCCAACAAACAAGGATGTCAGCAGCTTCTCTGAAACCACTGCTGACCTGGAAGAGATAGCTGGAGAAGGAAACACTGCTGGTAGTGGTGAGTGTCCGGATTCTGTTCTACTTCTGGCCTGTTGTTTCATTATTTTGCTTGAACTCTTAACTTAGGTATCCTTTGTCTTCTTCCCAAGGTGATGTTCTAAGGAGACGTATCGCTACACCAGAAGAAGTTCGTCTTCCTCTCCAGCATGGGTAAATGCTCTCATTTGCTACATGCATTGACGTTGATATGTGCAATGCATGACTCTAGGAAGAAGGGTGGTCCTCTCCTCATCTAAAGTAGGGGAGGAATAGGCTAGACAAAAATGGATAAAGGACAGTTATCTATAGTAATAACGTTTCCTGCTATGAGATTCCTAGGCTTTCCTTCTTCCTCTCTCAGGATCTGGCTCCCCTCAACAGTTCTTTCTTCATCTTGTGATGACTCAGTTTTGCTGAAGAGGCTCTAGTTATTACCTTTTCCAAACCCAGCTGGTGACCCTAGGACCCAGATGTCCAGACTAGGTGGCTTGTCCTATTTGTGTGAAGAAGGGATACCAATGAATGGAGAATGGCATGGTACCGTTCTGAGTACTGCTTAATGTTTCGACGGAAAGATGAGGATAATCTATTGCTCAGAACACAGAATCCCTAACTAAACCCTGGCCTACTGTATCATTTCATGGAATCAGCAGCAAGTTTACTCCTCTGCTTGCCTCCCCACTGCCTGTCTTTTTTGCCTTCATTCCCTTAAGTCTTCATGCCCTTTACTGACCAGTAATTTCTCTGAATGGCATCAGGAAGGGGTTTCTGGGCTTGTGCAGTTCAGTGTATTGCTTTCCTCCTGAGGGCCTGAAGGATTTGCTGGAGCTTGAGCCTGCCTTCTAGCCAAGCTTGTATTTCATGCTACTTTTGCACCACATGCAGTTCTAGTGAGACAGATGTGGGGAGGGTCATCTGCTCAGTGGTCTTGGCTCCTGGGTGGCATGGGAGTGGGTAGGGGTGTGACCTGGAGGCAGGGCCCGTGTGCTTCTCTGGCAGGTGGCGGAGAGAGGTGCGAATCAAGAAGGGCAGCCACCGATGGCAGGGGGAGACTTGGTATTATGGCCCCTGTGGAAAGAGGATGAAGCAGTTCCCGGAAGTGATCAAGGTAATATAGCTCTCATGGGCTTCCTTAGAGAAGCACAGACGCCTTTTGTAGGCCCAGTGGCAGCAGGCTGTCATTGTTCACTGTAGGGCCTGTTCTGCTAGTACCATTGTTGGCTAGAGGCATGGTGGGGCTACATCTTTATTAATGCCACTTTACCTCCTCTTCTTAGTACCTGAGCCGCAACGTAGTACACAATGTCCGCCGTGAACACTTCAGCTTCAGTCCCCGCATGCCTGTTGGAGATTTCTTTGAAGAGAGAGACACACCAGAGGTGCAGACCCAAGGGTTAATTATACATTTGTCCTAAAGAAAGGCTTGGTGGACAAGCTGTAGCTTCCTCTTGTGGGGTTTGGAGGCACTGAATGCTTCCCGTGGCCTGGTAGCCTACACTGATTCCCTCCCATTGTAACACAGTCTTCTTCATTACCTTAGGGCATGCAGTGGGTACAGCTCTCAGCAGAGGAAATCCCATCCAGGATTCAGGCAATTACTGGCAAACGGGGCCGACCTCGAAACACCGAGAAGGCCAAGATCAAGGAGGTCCCCAAGGTGAAACGGGGCCGAGGTCGGCCGCCCAAGGTGAAAATCACTGAACTATTGAATAAGACAGACAACCGCCTCCTAAAGAAACTAGAGACCCAGGGTACGGTGGTGTTTTTACTTTGGCATTCTGCTCCATTTGTGAGGTATCTGAGGTGTTGGTGAATCGCTAGTATCTGGGTTTCCCAGGAGTGTGACTGACATTATCTGGACAGAATGAATCTGAATCAGTTTCTCCCTGGAATGCAGCATTGGGCTCCTAGCACTTTTGGAGTAGTTGTTTTTCAGCCAGTTTCTTCCTTGAATTGCTCTTAACTAATGGAGCCCTAGGCTGTCCCCAGATTTGATTATGTAGCTCAGAGGAGAGGACTTTCATGCCCTTGCTTAGCGCACTGGATTCAGTTATACCATTTTTACTTTACTTACTGTCACCATCATGGAGATTCAGAATTCACATCTGAATTCAACAGATATTTGGCACTGTTCTAGTGGGAAATATGGATAGGCAGTGTCTAATTTTTCAGTAAATATTATAATAACCCTGATGTATGAAAAATATGAAAAAATTTGGAGTCTTCTGACTTCATTTCAGAGTCCCAGCTCTGCCATGTACTGACTGTATGGCCTGGAACCAGGTCACTTAGATTTTAATAGAAGCCTTAACTGGTTCATCTGCAGAAAATGTCTAACTCACAGAGCTGCTGTACAGATGTGGTATGATAGTGTTTCTATACCAGAAACAAAACAATAGGTAGTGTAGAAGAACATCAATTCTAAAATACTCTTATCATTTGCAGAACTATACTTCAATATTCAGTCTTCCAGAAAGAAAGAAACTCAGATCTTTTATGGGGTGAGACATGGGAACTGAGCATAAGCACAAGCTATGTCAGTGTGGCCCAGACCCTGCTGAAGTATCCGTTATCTGGGCCCTTTCTTTCTGGCACACTCTCTCTCTCTTTTTTTTTTTCCTTGTAAAAATACATATAACACAGCATTTGCCAGTTCAGCGGTTTTTCACATGTACAATTCATTGACACCAATTACATCAGTCATGTTGCTTCATCAGTGCTTCCAACTCTGGAGACCACCCTCTTTCCCTGGCAGTTTGGCTTTCTGTTTCTTTCTCTGCTCTCTGCTCCTAAAGTCAGTCTGGGTTGCTGCCCTTGTCAGGTAGCCTGGGAGAGAGATAGGTTACAAGACTGCCATTATAGCCTCTTTTCCATCAGCAGGACTCCTAGAGCATTTTGATCAGTTCCAGGGGCTGGTGCTTCTGGGCAGAAAAAGGCATTTGAGTTCTTTGTGCCACCCCCCCACCACCATAGAAGTGCCTCTCCTACATTTTCCCCCACATTTTATTATGTATGCTTTTTTAAAAAATAATAATTCTTCAGCGAGCTGTTGGAGAGGCCAGCTTTAGGACTGTGTGTGCCACCCTGAATGCCAGGGTTCAGTATTCTGCTTCACTCTTTTCCTTTTTCTTTCTGGTCTCACAGAAACACTGAATGAGGAGGATAAAGCAAAAATGAGTAAAATTAAGAAGAAGATAAGGCGGCAGGTACAACGGGGAGAATGTCAGACTACTATCCAAGGGCAGGTGAGCGACATCAGAGAGATTACACAGTGGCTAACTTTCCGTGTAACCTGCTTCATCTTGTCTTGCATCTCCTACGTCTGCCACCCTCTATGTAGCAGCACGCATTCAATACTTTGAAACCTCTTGGGCTTTAGTTAGAGAGTTGGGCTTGTTTGAAAATAATGTGGGCATCTCTAGGGTAAGAGAACTGATCCGTTAACCAGCCCCTCATCCCATCTCTCACCTCTCCTTCCCAGCACCCTTGTCTGTTTTTGAATCCGAGCCCAAGCAGAGATACTTTCAAAGTTTGAGGAGAAATGACTTCCTTTTTGGTTTACAGGCCAGAAACAAGCGGAAACAAGAGACTAAGAGCTCAAAGCAGAAGGAAGCTAAGAAGAAATCCAAGGTAGGTGCATGTACACACTCACCAAGTATAAACTTAAAGTCACCAAACTGCTATTATTGTCGAAAATATGCACAGCAAGACATACACCAATTTCTACGTGTACATTTCAGTGACATTAATTACATTCTTCAAGTTGTACAACCATTCTTACCTACCTTTTTCAAATTATTCCCCTGTCGTTAACATAAGCTCACTGTCCCCTAAGCTTCCTAGCTAACCTTTTGAGTTGCTGTGTTGTCAGTTTGATCCCATATAGATAGTTCTTTAAAAGAACACAATGCTCAAGGTGGACATTGTTTACTATGAAGCTAAGCTATTGTTTCATTTAAAGAAGACTTCAGGGGATATTTTTGGTTTAAGGTTTAAAGATGATCTTCTTTTATAGTTACATTTCTGGGCTCTGAGGCTGGGAGGGCCTGGGACCAAGGAAAGGCTGTGACTGGTATATTTAGGGGATTCTTGGTTCCTCTCTCCCTTGGGTGGATAGGCTGAGAAGGAGAAGGTAAAAACAAAGCAAGAAAAACTGAAGGAAAAAGTCAAGAGGGAAAAGAAGGAGAAGGTAAAAATGAAGGAAAAGGAGGAGATAGCCAAAGCCAAGCCAGCCTGTAAAGCAGATAAGACCCTGGCCACACAGAGGCGCTTGGAGGAACGGCAGAGGCAGCAGATGATCTTGGAGGAGATGAAGAAGCCCACAGAGGATATGTGCCTGACTGACCACCAGGTAGTGAGGGGAAAGTAGCAGGTCCTGGGCCGTGGGGGGCCGTGGGGAAGCGGACAACTGTGAAGACGTCTCCAGTAAAGGAAGACCCTCATAGATATTCAGACTGTTAACTTCTAGTATATGTGACAGGACCTCCTACCACTTTTATCCTTATAGCCCCTGCCTGACTTCTCACGTATCCCTGGTCTGATACTGCCCAGTGGGGCCTTCTCAGACTGCTTGACCATTGTGGAGTTCCTGCACAGCTTCGGCAAGGTGCTGGGCTTTGATCCTGCCAAAGATGTGCCTAGCCTGGGGGTCCTGCAGGAGGGACTCCTGTGTCAAGGCGACAGCTTGGGCGAGGTGCAGGATCTGCTGGTGCGGCTCCTCAAGGCTGCGCTCTATGATCCTGGCTTGCCCTCCTACTGTCAGGTGAGGCCCTTTGCTAGGGAGGTCGGGAAGGCCTGGGATCCAGTGCTTTGTCTCAGTCATGTTTTCTCCTTAAGGGCGCTTGAAGGCCCTCCTTAAAGTGTTCGGGACAAGTGAAGGGAGATGCAGCTTTTTCTTGTTTCTGTTTCCCTTATATTATTCCTTCTGTTTGTCTTTCTTTCTGACTCCCCTCTGCTTCCTTTGTTCATTTCTCTTCATTCATTTTCTTTTGCACCTTTGTTTCCTTTTTCTCTCATCTTGTCCTAGCAACTTTTATTCTTTTCTTGTCGTATTTTAACTCCCTAGTTCTTTCTTGCTGTATTTTCCCCTGTCAGGTTCATCTGACTTAAGTTGTTCCTCTTTCCCCCCTCATTCCCATTATGCTCTGCTTCAAACAGTCCCTAAAGATCTTGGGGGAGAAGGTGTCCGAGATCCCACTGACGAGAGACAACGTGTCAGAGATCCTGCGCTGCTTCCTCATGGCATATGGAGTGGAGCCAGCCCTCTGTGACAGCCTGCGCACCCAGCCTTTTCAGGCCCAGCCACCCCAACAGAAGGCTGCCATCCTGGCCTTCCTTGTGCATGAGCTCAATGGCTCCACCCTCATCATCAAGTGAGGGGGTGGGGATGGATGTATGCCTTGTGTCGCACCTGTCTCAAAGCCAGCTGGAATGGGATGGGGGTGGAATCTAGCCATCCAGAAGTCCTGGGGTGATGTGTGTTCGGTGCCATGCTCTGGAGATGCTGGAGTACCTTGGGTCTGAATCTTAGTGCCTTGCTTGGGAGAACCTAAGACAGTTTTTCTGCCACTCATCCAGTCTAGGTTCTAGGCTGGAACTCCCTACTCAGCTGTAGCCCCATCACCTCTGACCCTTCCTTCCTTTGCTTTGTGCTGCTCCTTCTACTTCAAAATCTCATTCCCCTTCCCTGTTCTACTGCAGTGAAATTGACAAGACCCTGGAGAGTATGTCCAGCTACAGGAAAAACAAGTGGATTGTGGAAGGCCGGCTCCGGAGGTAGGGATGGGACAGAGGGTAGAGCTCAGAGAAGAGAAGAGGAAAAGGGTGAAGCATAGCCAGGACTTTTGCCTGGAATTTGGTGCCCTTAGCCCCTTCCTTGGGGTTGGGACCTCACCAGGGCTCAGGATGGTTTCGATTCCAGATGTTTCTTTTGTGGCAGTGTCAGGTTCCTCACCACAGTTTCCCTTAATCTCTCCCTGTTTCAAGACTGAAAACTGCTCTGGCCAAGCGAACTGGGCGGCCCGAAGTAGAGATGCAAGGGTCAGAGGAAGGCCTGGGGCGGAGGCGTAGTTCTCGGATCACGGAGGAGACCAGCGGCATGGAAGAGGAGGAAGAGGAAGAGGCTATAGCAGCTGGTCGTGGCCGTAGGGGTCGAAGAGACGGAGAGGTACTGGCCTGGCACTGAGGAAGGTGGAAGTTGGGAAATTGATGATTTCTCTTTCTTGACTTTGCTAACTCCTTTTCTCTCGTTGTCCGTTTGTTTCTTCTCTAGGTTGATGTCCCAGCATCCAGCATCCCAGAGCTAGAGCGCCAGATAGAAAAACTCAGCAAGGTAATGTGCTTTATGACTCCCAGAAGTTGGGCTCAGATGGCATCGATTGTATAGGGGAACTGAAAGCCATTGCCTTTCTCCCATATACTGGATAAATTCACCACTATCACCTGGAAATGTGTTTTTTATGCATCTTCCTTTTCTGTTTCCCACCCAGCGTCAGCTCTTCTTTCGCAAAAAGCTACTTCACTCATCCCAGATGCTTCGGGCTGTCTCCTTGGGTCAAGACCGCTACAGACGCCGCTACTGGGTGCTGCCATATTTGGCTGGTATCTTTGTGGAAGGAACAGAGGGGAATTTAGGTAGGTAGGTGTGCCTGTGGGAACCTGAATTGTGAGTCCTGGTGGACAAAAATTGAACAACTCCTTTTCGTCAACCAGCAGTCTTAGGTTTCTTTCATGTTACGAGATTTCAGTATAGCATAGTGGTTAAGAGTGCAGGCTCTGTGGTAAAAGACTACCTGTTCTGCCATTTACCAGCTGGATAGTTCAGTTTCTTCATTTGTAAAAGAGAGATAATAATTGTGTGTATATTTCATAGAGTAATTGGGAGGATTAAAATGAGTTAATGCTCTTAAAATAGTGCTTAACATATAGTCGGTTCTCAGTAAATGTTAGCTTATGATGATGATGACTGCTTGAGGGAATAGTGTTTCTTCCCCAGATTCTGTGTTCACTGGCATGTAAGCTGTTCCTAGTGGAATCTCAAAAGGGGACTAAGGGGAAAAGAAAGTATATATCTTATGTTTATACACACTCTTTCTTTCCCCTTATATATCAGTGTATGTCTTAAGCTCTTTACTTCTCTTTACAGTTCCTGAGGATGTAAAGCAGGAAACTGACTCATTAAAGGCGGCAGCCCATCCAGCATATAACACAGCCCTCTTTGTAAAGAAGGAGTTAGCAGACTCCAGTACCTCTGCTGGTTCTCCTGCCCGGGCTCGAGGCCGACCTCGAAAAACTAAGCCTGGGTCTGTGCGACCTAGGCACCTTAAGTCTCCTGTCAAGAGTGAGGATTCAGAACAGTCGCATGCCCAACCTCAGCCTGAGGCCCAGCTCCATCCTCAGTTTCACCCCCAGCCCCAGGCCCAGTCTCAGCTTCAGTCCCACCCCCAGTCCCATAGTGAGTTCCTGGAGCCAGAAGGCTCCCCTTTGTCTCTGAGTCAGAGCCAGCATGACCTCAGCCAGTCAGCCTTCCTGTCTTGGCTGAGCCAGACTCAGAGCTGCGGCTCCCTGTTGAGCAGCTCAGTCCTCACACCTGATAGCAGCCCAGGAAAACTGGACCCAGCCCCATCACAGCCCCTGGAGGAGCCAGAGCCTGATGAAGCAGAATCCAGCCCTGATCTTCAGGCTCCCTGGCTTAACTTCTCAGCCCAGATGCCCTGCAATGCTGCCCCTACACCACCCCCTGCAGTTTCTGAGGACCAGTCCACTCCCTCCCCTCAGCTTCCTGCCTCCTCCAAGCCGGTAAGTAGCCAGAATTAGTCGTATGCACTTGCGCATCTTGCCACAGACCCCGCTGCCTGGCTGAGGGCTCTTGCTTGAAGTTGGGGGAAGGGATGGGGCCATTAAAGTCCTGTAAACGTGAAAACACCCTTATCCCCTTATGTGTCATCTCATTCACAGCTGATTAGACCCAGTGCTGCTGATTCCTGTTCTCCAGTGCAACTCTGTTCTACCCCTTTACCTGTGGTAACCCCCAAGAGGCGTGCAGGAGACCCTGGAGAAACACCACAGAGTCCCACAGGGCTGGGACAACCAAAACGGAGAGGCAGACCGCCTAGTAAGTTCTTCAAACAGATGGAGCAGCGTTACCTAACCCAGTTGACAGCCCAGCCTGTGCCCCCTGGTGAGTGAACTTGGGGTGGGAAAGGGTAAGAATGTAGGTAGGAGTGGCATCCAATGCGGGCAGTGTGATTCATAGCTGGTTCCAGTCCCTCACCCAACACCCTACATGTATGCTCTGCTCACAGAGATGCACTCTGGCTGGTGGTGGATCCGAGATCCTGAAACATTGGATGCCACACTCAAGGCCCTGCACCCCCGTGGCATCCGGGAGAAAGCACTTCACAAACACCTTAGCAAGCACAGGAACTTCTTGCAGGAAGTCTGCCTACGGCCCCCAACTGGTGAGATAGCTACCTTGACCCAGCCTGAGCTAAGAGCCCAAGATAAATCTTGAGTTGCTGTTATGGCCACTGGCCTGATGGGCCTTTTCTTCTGCCTTCTGTTTTCCCAGACTCCATCTTTGAGCCTAGTCAGCTACCTACCTTTCAAGAAGGTCTTACGAGCTGGTCCCTCAAAGAGAAGACGTATGAGACAGACCTGGCTGTGCTTCAGTGGGTTGAGGAGCTGGAACAGCGAGTTATCCTTTCTGATCTACAGATTCGGGTATGCCGGGAAGGCCTGGGACTAGGGGCTTGTCTATTGGGGGCATTATTAATTGTTGTACTTGTTAGGTAAAACCCTGGGTCCCCACTTCACAAGTGACCTACCATGACCTTAAATGGGTCACATTTCTTTCAGTTCCTAATTTTCCTTCTATACAATGGAGGATTTTTTCTCCCCCTTCCCATCTGCAGGGCTGGACATGTCCTAGCCCAGACTCGACCCGTGAAGACTTGGCCTACTGTGAGCATCTGCCTGACTCCCAAGAGGACATCACCTGGCGGGGTCGGGGCAGGGAAGGATTAGCACCCCAGCGTAAAACTACCAACCCTCTGGACCTGGCTGTGATGCGGCTGGCTGCACTGGAGCAGAATGTAGAGCGGCGGTACCTGCGGGAGCCCCTCTGGTCACCCCACGAGGTTGTGCTGGAGAAGGCCCTGCTCAGTACACCCAACGGTGCCCCCCAGTGCACCACCACAGAGATGTGAGTGATCCCCCTACACACACTCTTGGTCTTGGGGAGAAGGGGTAAGTTCCTTCTTTAATGGATCCTGCTCCTCGTCCAAAGATCACCATTTTTACCCTCCAGATCATATGAGATCACCCCTCGCATTCGGGCTTGGCGCCAGACTCTTGAGCGGTGCCGGAGTGCAGCCCAGGTGTGCTTGTGCCTGGGCCAGCTGGAGAGGTCCATTGCCTGGGAGAAGTCTGTCAACAAAGTGGTAAGTGGCCGAAAGAGCCTGGGAAGGCTGAGGAGCCAGCCAGCTAGGGGTGGTGGGGGGTGGAGTCACTGGCAGGCAGAGGCTTGAGGGCTTACCCTGTCCCCTAATAACTTTGGTCCAGACCTGTCTAGTCTGCCGGAAGGGTGACAACGATGAGTTTCTTCTGCTTTGTGATGGGTGTGACCGTGGCTGCCACATTTACTGCCATCGGCCCAAGATGGAGGCTGTCCCAGAAGGAGACTGGTTCTGTGCTGTCTGTTTGGCCCAGGTAAGGCTTCTGCCCTCCCAATCCCTCTCCCAAGCAGAAGTCAGAGGCCATTCTTCTTCATTCCACTTACCACTAATCCTGGAAATAACCCTTCTTTCATGATCTCAGTCTCTCCTTGGAAAGAGTTCCAGACTGGGTAATTAGGAGACCTGGGTTCTGGTTCTTCTTTGGACAAGTCACTTAAATGCTATAGTTTTAATTGCTTCCTCCATAAAATGGAAGTAATTATGCTTTCCCTTTTACAAAAACTACCTTACTGGGATATGTGAGTATAAGTATGAAGGTATTTTGGCACCTGGACAGGTAGGGATCACAATCAGCTGGAGGGCAGCAGAGCACATCTCCAGCTGCTGCTAATCTTGCCTTTGTGCTGTCCTCAGCAGGTAGAGGGAGAATTCACCCAGCAGCCTGGTTTCCCAAAGCGAGGCCAGAAGCGGAAAAGTGGTTATGTGCTGAACTTCCCAGACGGTGATGGCCGCCAACGCCGGCTACTGTCTAGGGGCCGAGAAAACCTAGTAGTGCCTCAGTGTTCAGAAGAAGGGTTGTCCCCGTCCAAACGACGGCGGCTCTCCATGCGCAACCACCACAGTGATCTCACGTTTTGCGAGTGAGTTGATTGTGAAGACAGCTGTCTCCACCTTTGCCAGAGGAAGGGCTGGGAGGGGTCAGTGCATTTGCTCCCTAAGGTCCAGCCATCACCGTCCCTGTAATCATAGGATTATCCTAATGGAGATGGAGTCCCATGATGCAGCGTGGCCTTTCCTGGAGCCTGTGAACCCACGGTTGGTGAGCGGGTACCGGCGCATCATCAAAAACCCCATGGATTTTTCCACCATGCGGGAACGGCTGCTTCGGGGAGGGTAAGCAGACATAGGCCAGCTCCCCTGGCTCTTCTCTGTCATTGCTATACCTCCTACCCAACTCAGCTCAGCCTCCACCTCTGCCCAGGTATACCAGCTCTGAGGAGTTCGCAGCTGACGCCCTCCTGGTCTTTGACAACTGCCAGACCTTCAACGAGGATGACTCTGAAGTGGGCAAGGCTGGGCACATCATGCGCCGCTTCTTTGAGAGCCGCTGGGAGGAGTTTTATCAGGGAAAACAGGCCAATCTGTGAGGCAAGGGAGGTGGGGAGTCACCGTGTGGCATCCGTCCTCCCTCCCCCCCCCCCCCCAAAAAAAAAAAAAAACAAACCTGCCATTCTCACCTGCTGATGCTGCCCTGGGCCCAGACTCAAGAGTCAGTTGTGCCGTGATTTTTGACCTGACCCTTGGCAGCACCCCACATCCTCTTCTCCCCACACCCCTTTCTCCCTTTCCTCCTCTTGCTCCTCAGATAAGAGGGGCAGAGATGAGGTCCTTCTGAACTGAAAGCCAAAAAAAAGAAAGAAAAAAATAATTTTTCCTTTCTGTTTTATTTCCTAATTAAAAATAGGGAGGGGGAAAGACAACATCCCTGCTTCCTCCTCCCAGCTTCCTCTCCTTCCCTGTATGTGCCCCAGCATTCTGGGGCTATTTAACAATAGCAATAGTTCTAGTGAATGTGTGAAACCGAGAAACACTCTGTACTGTGTGTGGACCCGCAGTGACGGCCAGTAAAGTGGACTTAACTCCCAAGTGTGTCGAGCCGGACACCGGGCCCTGGACATGCTGCTTCCATGTTCAGTCCCTCTCCTGCTTCTTGCCCACCCCCGTTTTTCAGATTTTTCCTCATCCAATAATGTAAAACTATCGTGTACGGGTTCCTCCCTCCTTTTCTCTTCCTCCAAATCTTTTTTTCCTTCAAAGGAAAAAAAAAGTTCAGTGGTCCCTGTCTTTCTCTCTGTCCCCATCTTCTGCCAATAGCTATCCCCTCTATAATGTCGGATGCTCCTCACATGCTGAGTTTCCAGCCTTTTCTGAAACTCAGTACCTGGGGAGAGGGCAGGGAGGCACCCTAAGCCTTCTAGCCTCCTTCCCCACCTCTTACCCAAACCTCCCTCTTGGGAACTCCTCAGGGACAACTACTGCTGAGTTTGGGTGCACCCCCAAGATGGAGGCCAGGTAGCAATGACTGGCCTCAGAGAGAGAGGTGTACGCATGTGCGAGAGAGAGAGAATGCTGTGATTGTGCCCCTGTATTGTTTGGTGAGATCCATTCAGTTTCCCCAAGTATCTGTTTTTATTCCCTCTTTTCCCATTGTTTGAAACCATCACTTTTTTGTCTTTGGGAAACAACAAGGAACAGTTTTCTCTGGGGACAAGGCCGTGTCTCTCTCCTCTCTCCCAGTCATTTCTGTTCCAGCCTCTTCAAACTGTGCAATCTTTCAGCAGGAACTTCCTCTCTCCTTTCAGTAGCTTTGAGTCTTAAGTTTTTGCAGGGAGAGGGGCAGAACTGGACCTTTTCCTAATCCCATGAGCCTCTGTGGGTTTAGTTGTGTTTTCCTCCCCTACTTCATGCCCCAGGACACCTTCCCCAGCAGCAGAGACCCCGGAGCACAGGAGAGTAGGGAGGAGGGGTTCTGGGTCCACGACTGCCCTACATGTGACTATGCCCAAGTTAAGCTCCCAACCCATGAGAGGAAGGCTGCTAACTCTCAGCTGTAGCCATGGGCTCCTGGCCCCCTGCTTTCCTGCTCAGCGGAGCCCCTCCCATCAGAGATTACGGGTACTTGCACTGGGGAGGTGGCTGTTGGCTGGCCCAGGCAGAGAGCTGAGGCGTCCTAGAACCATACCCTTGGTGGTGGTGGTGGGGAAGGGGGGTACCAGGTGAGGTGGAGCATTCCTTGTACTTCCAGCAGCACTGAATAGCCACTGAAGGGGGTGGGGGGCAGTGTAGTTCCTGGGGCAGCCCCTTATTCCTTTGTGTCCCTTCTCCCCCTTAGCCTATTTCTAAAGTCGCCTTTTCTGTCAGATAAACCTCAAAACCTTTAATTTTATTTGAGAATTTTTTTTTTTTTTGCTTTTAAATAAGAGGTGGATTGAAGAATATTTGAATTGACTTTATATTATGCATAAATATTTATATTTTATCTAAATAATTGCGCTGTAACAAACTTTGTGTTAGTTAAATATTTGGAATTGTTAGAGTTGGGGGCTCCTCTTTTTCCCCATGGCAGTTTTCCCCTGGTATAAAATGTCCTAGATTCATTTTATTATTGGAGGTGAGGCGGAAGGGGGAGTGAAACCTCAGTTGTTCCTGCTTTGTGTTCCTCTCCCAGCTCCATCTCTTTCCCTAGGGACCAGGCATTCTTAAGGTGGGTTGGGAGTCCTAGCCTCAGCTTGAAGAGGTAGAGGCTGAAGGGGGGTGGGATAGGAGTAGGGCTTGACCCAAGGGGCCATTTCTCACTTTTCTTTCATTTTCACACTGCCCCTTGAGCTAGGTGGATTGTCTCTTCTTGACAAATAAGAGTATTTTGATTGATAGGGAAGGCAGGTTTTAAAAAAAAAAACAAAAAAAAAAACACCCCACCCCCTCCCCCTATCAGTCTGGTAACAGGAAGAAACCACACCATCACCACCAAGCTTCCATGTTCCTTTTACAACAAAAGGGACTGACTTTTTTATATAACCAAATGTGGTGTTTTAGTGACTTTTTGATAATGTACAGTTTTTTGTGAATTTAAATTTATTTCTTTCTATATTTTTAGGACCAATCTCATTTTTAATAAGGTTAAAAAAGGAAAAAAAAAGGTCTAGAGAAAAAAAAACTCCTGTTTTTGCCATGTGATGTTCCACAAGTGCAGCTGTAGAAAAGTGCTTGTCAGTTGAATAAAAACCACATTTGATAGAGATTCAAAAGACTCTGCGTATTTATCTTCCCTTCAGCATACGTTCTCACACATGCCTAAGGGGGAGAGGATGCTAGGATGGTTCTGACTGGTTTAATGTAAGAAAGAGATCAGGGGAGCAATATGCCCATAAACCTCCACACTTGGCCTTCCTGTGCAAGGGGCATCCAGAAGTAGGATCCCTGCTTCACACCTGGGCATACATGGGTGGAATAGGCTCTTTGTGCTCCTGCCTAGAAATCTGGTGGGAGTGCTAGAACCAAGTGGTTTTCGGTGTGCCCACGTCCCATCTTGTGAGACATGGTTTAGCTTCCTAAAGCTGCCGCGGGTGCTCCTATAGTAGCAAACATGGTCCCATCACCGACATCCCACCTCCCACCCATGGATAAGACACCAGGAAATAGACTTTTGTGTTTTATTTCAAAACAAAAGTTGAAATAAGACAAAATGTAACTCTACCAAATTGTAGGGAAGGAACATGGGAAGACCGAGGGTCAGAAAAGGAAGAATAAGCTGCAAGGGTGGCATTGGCATAGACATGGAAAGAGTACAAAACTAGAAACCTCTGAATAAAGAAAAAAAATGTACAAAATGTTGGAGTATAAATTAATTTCCTGTCCAAGGTGGTAAGTACATGCAGGAGAGCACTCACCTGCCCCACAAGGCCAGAAAAGGTGTGTTGGGAAGTGGAGACACCAGTAATGGGGCGGGGGGACTTTATCTACTCAGGCTGGGAAGTCGCCTTACCCTCCAGGCTGGAAGCTTTGTCTTGGTGAACAGTCTAACGATGTTAAGGTGGAGAGGTAACTATCCAGTTGCTTCTAGCTCCCACCTTCCAGAAGGTGCTTGGTTACCTTCTCAACTGTATGGCTGGCCAACTCTCTTTTATCCCCTTAAATTCTAAGCTCTGCTCCAATGTTGGTGTTCCTGGGGGCGCCTCCCAAGCATCAGTTAGTATCCTAGGGGGTGTCAGTTAATATGCACAATCTATACCACAGCAGGACCCTAACTGGAGAGTTCATACTCTGCTAAGGAGATTAGTTAGCTAAAAAAAATCCCAGAGAAGACATTCCAGAAATAGACATAACCAAAAGAGTTTTTGCATTTGATTATGAACTTTCTAGCCCCCAGCTTTCCACCCAACCCTCACGAAGGGAAGGACAGAATAAAAGAAAGCCATAAACCAGGTGCTTGTGCCCTTGTTCACCTGTGAGACTGTGAGGTAGATGTGTAACAAGGACAAGAAGTTTTGGGATGTGCTTGGAGAATGAAGGTTTATTCAAAACAGATGTGGACAAGTCAGGGCGCAAGATCAGTGATAACAGGTGAGAAGGTGCCCGGCCTTTTCATCACTACAGTCATGGGACCAGCCCTACGGAAGGGCAGCAAAGATCAGAAGGGTAATGAGCTCACTGGCTGGTCTCAGCTGCTGAAGGAAGACTCTAGGGAAGGAAGGGGTGAAAGTTGCTAGTGAACTTCAGAGATCTGCTGATGCTTGGAAGAACCTAAAATGCAGGTAGCACAGAAATGGAAGGAGTAGTTGGTTTTCGGAAGAGGGTATCAGGAAGCATCAGGGAATCGGGGGCAAAATTTAAAATCTACCCCTCACTGGTGAAATTTCTTAACACCCTCTTCTCTGAAGCCTGCTTGAATGAGGTCTAGCAAAGCCTGAGGGCAAATTTGGACCTGCCCATCCTCCCGAGTTTATTGGCCTAGATTAAGAAGGCAAAGTAGCCCCTTTTGAGTGCAATGCTGCCACTCTCCCAGAAGGTGGGGCACGTGGACAAGAGAGCAGCAATAGTTCCTTTTCTAGAAAGGAACTAGTAGTCTGGGATCCCTGCAACATTTCAGCAAGGCCTCTCACAGCACCTTTATGGTGCAAAGTAACAGCCCCACATGTAGGCTCCAGCCCGCAATGGGTTGACATTGGAGCAACAGGAAGTGAGCACTGGAGGCACCAAGGGAAGTGCATGAGTTCACTGATGAGCAGTTAGGAAAGGAAGAGAAACGGAAATGGACTGAGGTGGCCCAACCCAGGAATGGTCTGTAGGGCAGTAAAGTCTGGTCTTCACCCTCAGGGCAAGGAATATTCTCCCTACCACGCCTATCTATCACTGAAAAGATCTGTTACCTCTCCAGAGCCACCAGGCTTCCTAGTCTGGGCAGCGCTTCAAATTCTTTGGTTAAAAACATTTAAAAAATAATTCCTTCCCCAAAATTGTTCCCACATCCTCCCTAACCTCTATTCCTTTCCAAAAAGTCCAACCAGCTCAGGGTCTGAGTATCATCCTGGAGGCTGAGGGGAGCAGTAACAATGCTGGCATGAGATGAGATGGGCAGTATCTGAGCATTGTAAAGGATTGTACCATCTGAGGAAGGGACTGTGGTATATTTGTTTGAAAACAGTTAAAACACAAAGTACTAAAATATTTTAAGAATGCTGTGAGCATCTGTAATGAGTGAGGAAGAGATGTGAAGTGCAGAGAGAGTTAAGATCTGGGCTCTGCGAAGACAAGATTCAGAAAATACTAGGTGAAAGACAGGACAACAATGGACTCCTCCACCCTAATAAAAAGTAGTGTTGAAAGAGCCAGCCCAAGGCTGTAGAGCTGGAAGGCTTCCTACAATTCTCCTGGAGTTCTGAGCTCCTGCCACCACCCCCACCAATAGATTGTTTCATGGGAGAAAAAGTACCCCTCATTCCTTCTCCCTCCTTTTCTCCAATCTTAGAAAGGAACTAACAACTAGGGGAAAAAATATTATGAGTGTAAGTAACCCAAAAGCACCTAAACGAAATTCCTCAGTGCCATTAGCCACTCACTCACTCCAAAAATAACTTCAGGCTCCCCATCGCTTCATATGCCCAAACCTGCCCAAGCCAGAAATATACAGAATCCAACAAGCAGATTTACAGGAGGAAGACACACAAATGGCAACCTCAGAATTTAAAACAAAAAAATCATGGCCACGTAAGCATTGTCTAAATACAGAGAAGGCAGACAGAATCAGGAGTTCTGGGTGGTGGGGGGATGGGGGAGGGGAGGCAGCAGTGAACAGCAGCAGTTTCTGTACATGAAAGGCCCCCATTGCACTAAACCTATCATAGCAAGGCTCCCCCAGTCTACTGTCAATCAGATGAACAGGATTCTGGATTTGTTTTCTCTCTTAAAGGCCAATGACAAGAAAGCAGCTATGGTGTACTTTCCTTGACTGAGGGCTAGAGACGCGAGAACAAGAGCTATCTACCCAGTTATCTACCCAGCCAAACGCTTCTAAAAGGTTACTGGGCTTGCAGCCATTTTACATTGGATAAGCCCTTCCTGAGGCTGGAAGCACCCATGAGAAACTTCATAGTGGCATTTTGTCTTCTACACTTTATATCCTACCCACTGCCCCCACTTCCTTACTCCTAGGATGTACAAAGGGACAGTCTGGGGGTAGGGAGCCTTGTGACTCTCAATTCTGGGGTAGGTGGGAGCAGGAAACCTGGGCTCAAGTTCTATTCGCAACAACCCTTACTATGGCTCCTTTTCCCTCTGCCATCTTCCCTGCAGCCTGTTTTGCCATTCCTAACACACACCTGTTTCTCCATTCTCCATCATTTGGCTTTCTGTCCTGATTGTCTGGTGAAGTGCTAGCCTTGAAGTGAAGGAGAGCAGAATTCACCTTTCAGTGGGTAAGGGAGTGCCTGGGAGAAGACAAGTGCAGGAGCTTATTTCCTAAAAGATGGGCAAAGGCTTTCTACCCATCTGTCTCCACGTGCATGGAGTCAGGTCTTACAGAAGGAGACTGAGTTGAACAGCAAGATGTAGGCTTTTTTTTTTCACGACTCCTGACCTTGAGATGGGATTTATTGCCCAGTTTTCTAGCCTAGCTCCCTGTTGTCCTTCCACAAGAAGGAAAATTATTTCTGACGACCTGGGTTCCCTAGGAAAGGGGCCCAAACAAGTCAGGGCATGTTGCTCTGGACTGTTAACGGCAGCTTGTCCTTTCCCACCCCTGCACAGCACACACACACAGCCCTGACCTCCATCCCGCTGCATACGTGTGCACACATGGCCTAGGAACCCACAGCCACAATCCTTTCAAGGACGGGTTTTGCTAGATGCAGAGGTGCCAAAGGTCAAAGCCTGAAGGGGACTCAAGGACCTCAGTTCTGTGTCTCCCAACTAACTGCACGTGTATCAAAAGGCACTGTGTGTCCAGGGTGGGGGTGGGGAATTTACCAAGTCCTACTGTGCAGGAGGCAGGGACGACACCGCCTATCAGGGTTTCTCAACCTAGGCACAACTGACATTGTGGGCCAGATAATTCTTTGTTGTGGGGGCCTGTCTTGTGCACTGTAGGATGTTGAGCAGCATCCCTGGTCTCTACTCACTAGATGCTAGTAGCATACCCCAGGCATAACAATAAAAAATGTCTCCAGATATTGCCAAAAGTCCCCTGAGGGACAACATCACCTCCGGCGGAAAACCACTGGTCTCTATAGGTGAAACGCTGACCACCTACAGTGGGGAAGGAGCCTAAGTGGCTTCAGCAAAGTCACAGCTGCACAGGCTCTGGGCTGGGTGCAGCGATGTGTAATGGGGAAAAGAGTGGCCGCGGGACCCAGGGCAGAAAAAAAGATTCTCTAGGAGGCAGGAAAGCAGGTATTCCTGAAGAATCGCAGCTGCAAAAGACACGTCCTCAGGTGTGCGGGCGCCAGCAGTGAGCAGAGTTAGTCAGAAGTCACTAAGTCCATTCTTCTGGAACTTGCCAGGGTAGACGCAGTCTTCATCCAAATTTGGCTCAAGGGTGGCTGGCTTCCAGAGGCCGCGGGATTGTCTCTTTCATGAGTCTAGGTCACATGTCTGCTTCCTGAGGCAAGGCTAGTCAGTCTTTTCTCCCAGGAGATGGCAGGGCAGGCGGAGGAAAAGCCACTCCCAGGGCGTGTTTAGTGCTCCACTTTGTTCCTTGCCCAGCCCCCAAAATATTCCACACGAAATTTAATTCAAAAAAGAAATCCACAAAATTAAAAATTGTATAAAGGCCAAGTAGGCAGGCTCTGCTGTATGGAAGAGAAAAAGAACAATCTGAATGAGAGAAAGAAGGCATAAAATGTGTGAAGAAGAGATGGAGTGTGTGAGCAGAGAGCTTTACAAAACATCATTTGGAGAGTTTGCATATTTTCTTATACACACACACATATGCACACCAAAAAAGTCCATAACTAAACTCTGGGTCCACAGTAGGACTCCTTCAATGTTCTAGCACCAAATCTTTGTTTTCTTTTTAAAGGACAAATACTAAATTGTTTTAAAATCCCTCAAAATAATTCAACACATCAAAAAATGTTTTTCATACAGATGAGAAGAGGTTCCAGCCACCATGTTTCTTTGAAGTAGGGAATTTAAAATAAGATTAAAAAAAAAAAAATGAAACAAAAATCTTTCTTTGCAAAAGAAAGGAAAAAAAAAAAAAGTGTTGATTTCTTTGAATGTAGCAGAGGGCAGGAGCAGAGATATGTTCTCTTCCAGGCCCAGGCCTGTCTTTGAAAAGTGATGGCCAAGTATTAGTCCTTAGCAGGGCCCACAGTGGTCTGTATTCCTGGTTAACCCTCTGGATTCTGGGAGCATCAGCATCTCCAAGAATTCATTTCTATTCAGCAAAGAGGGGAGGGGAATCCTAAAGCCAGAGGGGTCGGGAGGGAGGTGGAGTGACAAACAGAGCCCGTCTGACTGTCTGACTTCAGGCAGGGACCCGAGTCTCCCAGCTCAGCACCCCGCCCCCACCCCCCAGCATGTAGTTCTTACCCACTGTTACTTGTTGAACTGGAAAGAATAGATCCCATGGTCTGAGGGAGTATCCACTGTCACTTGAGTCTGCTGGCCGCTACTCTCCTGTACACAGCCAAGGCAGGACAAGTCACCCTGTGCTTTCCTTTCCTTACCTCCCACTAAAGCAGCCTAGTTAACACTCACCCAAAATTGAGTGCCCTCCCCAACCTACCCCCCATCCCACCACCACTTCCCCTACACCTATAGCAGCCTCTCGTCTTCCCAAGACAACTGGTCCACACAACCCCGGATTCTGGTATTAACTACTGGGTGGCTGGCACGACATGAGGAAGGGCCTCATTCACGGGCACAGACTAGTCTTTCCTTCCTATATGCTGCACATACCTCCAGCTATGTGTGAACACAGGATCAGCTCAGTGTGAGAGGAAGAGCTTTATTAGGGACAAATCTGTTCATTTTCCTATCCTCAATCCAAAGAGATGAGAAAGCTCTTACCTCAACTGAAACACTGGAAGAAGGCACAGGGGTGTACTGGGAGATGTATGCTCCCTGCATAGCTGCAGCTGTTGGCATATACTAGAATGAAAAACATCAACAGACTTAAAGCAGTGAGTCCTGGCTACATTTAAAACACCGGGGGAGCTTTAAAAAATCCTGATGCCTGTCTTCCACCCCAAGAGTTTCTGATGTAACTGGTCTGGGCATTAACTTTTTAAAAGCACGCCAGGCGGTTCTAAAATACACTGGTTTCTGGAGACTTCCACCTGCATGACTGACTTTCCTCCTCTCTCCCGACTGTCTTCTGCTTTTCCTCAACACACTGCCTTCTCTGCCCCTAAGCCCCCCGCAAATCAGAATGCAGAGGCCTGAAAAACTTAATGCACTCCATCTATTCCTCCCGTTACTATTTTGGTAAGAATTTCTAGGAAATGCGTATGAACTAGATAAACTAGTATGTAGACAGAAATACTGTTCGTTCCATTCCATGAACAGGACTCAGTTAAAAGGCGTGAGTGGAGGGCTGTATTCCTGGCTCGTGGATTGTTAGCTTTTTAGTTTATCTCCTAAGAGCGTCCTCGACTGCACTGAAGTGATTCCCATCACCGCACATAAGTATTTAGTCCTTGTTCTGAAGAGTATTACATAGGTAGTCCTTGATCTGCAGGATTCAGAATCTAAGAAATGTCCTGCTTTACCGCGCCCGGGCTGCTGAGGGAGAGATGGCCCAGTTGCTGGGTCAGAGGTCCCATCATGGAGGCAGGCTGGAGAGAAAGGGGATGATCCATCCCTGGCGTCAGAACTGAACCCTTGAGGCAGAAACAAAGGGTAGGGTTAGTTGGCAGTATCTTGTAAGGCTGCCCAAAGCAGAGACTGACGGTTACCAGGACCCCTGAAGACAGACATTTTAAAATCCTGGGAAATGACAGGTGAGTGGCAACCCAGCTATGCACAGACTAGGCACTCTGCCCACCAGTCTGGAGGGACCCTGGTCTAAGAATAAGAAACTCACAGGATTTAAGGTCATGTAGCTGGGTTGCACAAGGGACTGAACCAGAACTCACACCCACATTTCCCTGTCATCAAATCCCATTGTTTTTCTTTACATCAAATTGCCTCTTTGGCTTTTGCCCACTTCTGAACACTCACTGAAGGCTGCATGAGGTATGACTGGTGGTGCATCCAAGATGCGTTAGGTACGTGTAGAGGAGATGTCTGAGTCACTCTCTAATGCAAGCAAAAACAAACAAAAATGTTAATTGGCTAGAAACTACTGTTCAGCCCCATGGTCTGATAATGTTCAGCAAAACCCCCCAAAAGTCTGACTGCCCCCTTCAGAAAAGAAACATTAAGAATGGTTTATTTATAACAACAAAAAAAGAATAAACTGCTTAAAAAGTATTAGCAACTCTACAACTCAACAAACAACTCAATTAGAAAATGAGCAGAGGATTTGATAGACATTTCTCTAAATATATGCAAATGGCCAATAAGCACATGTAAAGAAGCTCGAGGCTGTTAGTTGCTAGGGAAATGCAAATCAAAACCAAAATGAGATACCACTTCACAACCTCTAGGATGGCTGGAATCAAAAAAATGGACAGTAACAAATGTTGGCAAGGATGTGGAGAGACTGAAACCCTCACGCACCACTAGTGCCACTGTGAAACGGTGCAGCCACTTTGAAAAACAGTTTGGCAGTGCCTTAGAAACTTGAACAGTTACCATGTGATCCAGCAATTCCACTCCTAGGTATATGCACAAGGGAAATTAAAACACACATCCACACAAAAACCTATATGTGAGTTCACAGCAGTGTTAGTCATAATAGACAAAAGGTGGAAACAACCCAATGTCCATCCACTAATGAATGGATAAATAAAATGCATGGATAAATCCATACAATGAAATACTGGGCCATAAAAAGGAATGAAATACTCATACATGTTACAGCATGGATGAACTTTGAAAACATGCTAAGTAAGAGAAACCTGTCACAAAAGACCACATAGTGTATGATTCCATTTATACAAAATGCCCAGAATAAGCAAATCCAGAAAGACAGAAAAAAGATTAGTGGATGCCAGGGGCTGGGGGAGATGGAGATGGGCAGTGACTGCTAATGGGTACAGGGTTTCTTCTGGGGATGGTGAAAATGTTTTGGAATTAGACAGTGGTGATGGCTGCCTAACTTTCTAAATATAAAAACTCCACTGAATTGTACACTTTAAGAGGGTGAATTTTATACGTGAAAAAAAAAAAAAAATGCAAGGAGAAGCTAGAAATACATCAAAATGACCAAGTAGGGTTTATTCCAAAAATATAAGGATTGTTTAAGATCAGAAACTCTATAAACAAAAGTCAAAATTGAAGAGAAAAAAAAAAGCGTAATATTAGACGCTGAGAGACATTTGATAAAATTCAGCAACCATTGGTTTAAAAACATCTCAAATTAAAATAGGGACAATTTTAAGAAATTACTTAAAATATTAAAGGCTATTACTAAAAACTAGACACTAACATTAATCTAAACAGAAATATTAAAACCATTGCAATTATATTATAATTAAAATATCTTATTGTAAGGTGGAATAAATACAATAAGGTAAGAACATAATTGGTAAAAAATTGGAAAAAAAGACATAAAACATTTCTTTTGCTGATGATGGATAAATAAAATGTGGTATATACGTACAATGGAATATTATTCGGCCATAAAAAATAACTATATGCCTAGAACAGCTAAGAGACTCAAGTAAGAAAATACTAGTAGTAATAAGTGGATTTAGTAAGTTAGCTGCATACAAGATAGATGAACATATATCAATAGCTTTCTTTCGGTCTATCAATAAGCAATTAGAAATGCTTACAAAAATTATGAAACACTTAAGAATATATCTAACGAGAAAAGAATAAGACCTACATAAAGAAAAATAAAATCTTATTAAAGAACATAAAATTTGAAAATATGAGAAGAAATACTGTATCTTGAATAAAGACAGTATTTTTTTAAAAAGTCAATTATCTTAAGCTAATATATATACATTTAATGTAATTCCAATTAAAATCTTCACAGATTTTTAAAAATTAGATAAAATGATCATAAACTTTATAAGAAAAATAGATGCTCAAGAATAACAAAAAAACTTGAAAAGGAAAGAGTAAAGAAGGGGGCTTTATCTTACCAGATATTAAAACATACTATGAATGCCACTGTGATCAAATCAATATATTACTGGAATAGAAGCAGGCACAGAGATCATTGGGATAGAGAAGTAAATGCTATTATTTATTATATGATAAAGGTGGCTGTACTGGGTTCAATAATGTTCCCTAAAGATTCATATCCACCTGAAATCTCAGAATGTGGCCATATTTAGAAATAAGGTCTCTGCCAGAAGATCTGGATGGTGTCCAGCTACCACTACTGAACATTTTGAGCAAAGAGTCTATCGAAGAATTCTCATCAAAAGGGGGTAAGTGCAGAACAGAATTTAAATTTCTCATGGAATCCAGAATTCCTGGAGCCAAGGAGACTGGATGAACCCCTGAAACTGGTGTCCTAAGAAATCTTTAAACTTTAAACCAAAAATATCCCCTAAGTCTTCTTAAAACCAAATAATACTTTAGCTTAACTAGTAAAGAATGTCTGCCCTGAGCGCTGTGCTCTTTTAAGATCTATCTATATGGGATCAAACAGACAACAGCAACTGGAAAGATTATATAGGAACCTTAGGGGTAGTGAGTTTATGTTAATGGGGGATGAACAACTCAGAAAAGGAAGGTGAGAATGGTTGTACAACTTGAAGAATATAATCAATGTCACTGAACTGTACATGTAGAAATTGTTGAACTGGCGTATGTTCTGCTGTGTATATTCTCAACAACAACAAAAATAAAATAAATTACATATATAAAAAAAGAAACAGGGTCTTTGTAGATGTAATTAGTCAAGGTGAGGTCATACTGGCTTAGGGTGGGCCCTAATCCAATGACTGGTGTCCTTATAAGAAAAGAAGACAGAGACACAGATAGAGGTAAGAGACTAGAGTGAGGCTTTTACAGGCCAAGAACACCAAGGACTGCCACAGCCACCAGAAGCTAGGAGGCACGGGACAGATCCTCCCCCAGTGCCTTCAGAAGGAGCATGGCCCTGATGACACCTTGGTTTCGGGCTTCTAGCCTCCAGAACTGTGAGAGAATAAATTTCCATTGTTTTAAGTTACCAAGTTTGTGATAATTTGTTGTGGCAGCCCTAGGAAACAAATCTAGTGGCATTTCAATTCAGTGGGGGAAAGAATGGATTATTTCATCATCTGGTATTAGAATAACTGGTTAATATTCTCAAAGAAAATACAATAGGACCTCTATCTTATGCCATATACAGAAATAAATTCCTGATGTTTACACAATTAAATGTAAAACAATGAAGTAAAATCTTAGAGACAATACATACACTCTAGGAACTAAAGAGACCTTTTAAATTAAGACAGGAAATGCAAAAGCTTCAAAAGAAAAAGCAGACATATTTAACTATATACAAATCTCAAACTTTTGTATGGTAAAACCCAGTTATTTCCAAAGTATGGTCCCTGGACTAGCAGCCTCAGCACCAGTACTGTTAGGAATGCAAATTCTTGCCTCTTCCCAGAAGATGCTAATATTGCTGGTCCAGGGACCATGCTTTGAAAACCACTGGTCTAAGACACTGTTAAGTGAGTAATAAAAAATATATTTAATGTGTTCCCATTTTTGTAAAACAAATAGTGACTCTCAAAACCTTATACATGTGTATCTACACACATGAAGAAAAATATGGAAGATGCTATGTACTAGGTAATTAACATGGGTTTACTTGAGGGAATGGTGGGAGGGGAGGAAGCAGATGGCTAAGAAAAAGGAAAGAAAAAAAGAGATGTCACTAAAACTGTCTTATCTATCTATCTACACATACAATGTAATCACATTTTGTGCTTTTATGTAAAATTATTTGTGTGTGATATGTATAAAGGAAAACCCAAAAAAACAATAAGCAGTTTCCAGCTTTATATTCCTTCACCTAAAACACAATGACAGGGAAAATCACCACATCGTTTTTTTTTTTTTTTTGGCATGAACATACCTGATACGAAGACATAGGAGATGGAAGATATGGGGATAGTGCGGACTGAGCAAGCATCCTGTTGGGAGTGATGTTATAAGGAGCTGGGTAAAACCTGTAGGAGTGAATCTCAATCAGTAAGAAATCACAGGAAACCACAGGTAAGGGCCCCCACTGATAGGCACAACTACTTTCCACCAACTGCCATTTGAAAATCAAGATGGGGAGGGAGGGAGAGGATTATTCACTAACTAGATAGTAGACAAGAATTATCTTAGGTGAAGGGAAGGACAACACACACTACAGGGCGAGTCAGCACAACTGGACTAAACCAAAGCTAAGAAGTTTCCTGAATACAACCAAACACTTCGAGGGACAGAGTAGCAGGGGCAGGGGTCTAGGGACCATGCTTTCAGGGGACATTCTAGATCAACTGGCATAACAAAGTTTATTAAGAAAATGTTCTGCATCCCACGTTGGTGAGTGGCGTCTGAGGTCTTAAAAGCTAGGGAGCAGCCATCTAAGATGCATCAATTGGTCCCAACCCACCTGGAGCAAAGGAGAATGAAGAACACCAAAGACACAAGGAAAATATTAGCCCAAGAGACAGAAAGGGCCAAATAAACCAGAGACTCCATCAGCCTCAGACCAGAACTAGATGGTGCCCGGCTACCACCAATGACCGCCCTGACAGAGAACACAACAGAGAGTGATGGAGCAGGAGAAAAGTGGGGTACAGAACTCAAATTCTAGTCAAAAGACCAGACTTAATGGTTTGATTGAGACTGCAGGGATCCCAGAAGACATAGCCCCTGGACGCTCTGTTAGCCCAAAACTAAAACCACTCCCGAGGCCAACTCTTCAGACAAAGATTAGACTGGACTATGGGACATAAAATGATACTCGTGAAGAGCGTGCTTCTTAGCTTAAGTCGATCCATGAGATTAAATGGGCAGCTCCTGTCTGGAGGCGAGATGAGAAGGCAGACAGGGTCAGGAGCTGGTTGAATGGACATGGGAAATTCGGGGTGGAAAGGAGGAGTGTGCTATCACAGTATAGGAAAAGCAACTAGGGTCACATAACAATGTATGTATAAATTTTTGTATGAGAGATTAACTTGAATTGTAAACTTTCACTTAAAGCACAATAATATAAAAAAAGAAAAGATGAAACATCCATTTTCCAACAATAACAACAATCAAAAAAAAAAAGGGAGGGGAAGCTACAAATGATGATACTAATTAGACATAACCAAGTCACCTCATAGGGTTAGGTCTCTTGGTTTGGGGGCTTAGGGCCAAGGTCTCCTGGGACAATCTAGTCAACTGGCATAATATAGTTCTTAAAGTTTATGTTCTACCTCCCAGTATGGTAAGTAGTGTCTGGTGTCTTAAAAGCTTATAAGCGGCCATCTAAGACACAACTAATGGTCTTCATTCATCTGGAACAAAAAGAGAAAGAAGGAAACCCAAGAATCAGAGAAGGAACTGGACTACAGGACTAAATGTCTCCATGAACCACTGCCTCCTCCACCTTGAGACAAGAAGAACTAGATGGTGTCCAGCTACCGGTACTAAACATTCTGATCAGGGACACAAGAGATGAATTCTGATAAAAAGGGAGAAAAATGTAGAACAGAATTCCAAATTCTTAAAGAATCCAGACTTAATGGACCTATTGAGTCTGGAGGAGCCTCCAAGACTATGGCCCTGAGTTGCTCTTCAAATCTTGAATTGAAACTACCCTGTGAAGTCACCTTTAAACTAAGTAACTTTTTATCCCAAAGAGTAAAGATTGTTACCCTTGAGTATTGCCTTAAAAAAAAAAAAAAATTATATAAAACCAAAGGGTCAACAGCTATTTTAAAGCGTAGATAAGGTTAGGGGGAGATTAAGGAAATGAAGTGAAACAACTAGGACAGAAACAACGAGAATGTTCACACAGTGTGAAGAACGTAACCAATGTCACTGATCCTTATGTCTAGAAACTGTAGAATGGGAGCGGGTTTTGCTGTGTGTATTTTCACCAAAAATAAAATTTAAAAAAAGATGAAATATCTAAGTGCCTGGACACAGGCTGTTGTCATTTTCAGGTATGTGTGTATATAAAACACACTTACCCATTCTGAAGAGCTGTGGTGGGGTCATAGGTCAAGGCCATGCCACTCTATAAAGAAAGAACATAGTGTTTATATTGTGGGTCCTTGGGTGAGAGCAGGAGCAAGCACATAATGCTAAGGGTAGGGTGAAGTCTGGAGAGTACCACTGCGGCTGTTCCAGAGTTTTTCTCATTGTGCAGGCTGCAAAACCCCACTCAACACCCAGCCAACTTCCCTCAGTTATAAACTTGCCACCTAAGCTTGTAGAAGTCAGGCCATGGTTATTTCCATTCCACTTTAATGTCCTTCATGCTCCTGTCTCCTCAGAGGTCCTCTTACCATATCTCCATTCCTTGGCCAGGCCCGTCCATTTTGCACAAATTTTCCTTGGTTCTGTCGTTTCTTTGGCCCACCATCAGCAAATTTGCAAAGCAAGGGATCAGATGGGGCTGCCAAGAGAAAGACAACAGGCAGCTGAGTCCCACCTCACTTAGCCTACTTGTACTCATACAAGATAGCTCCAGAATCTTCACTGGAAGTAACAACCTGTGGCCCTCTCAGCCTGATTCCCAGATGCCTCACCTGGTACTCCAGGGGGTGTCTTAATATATTTTCCATTAAAGTGGGTGATGATGGCTTCACACTTCTCTGTGGACTCCATCCTAAGGAGCACAAGAGGGGTTAGGCTCTAGCTTCTCCAGGATCTGTGCTCTCCCTACATTCAAAGAGAAAGCTCTAAGTTCCCAGACCCACAAATGCTCCAAAAGTTGTGACTATAGAAATACAAAGTTCCTTCTACATAAATTCAAGGTATTTTGAAGAGGCAACCCAATCTCTAATGCAGGTTCTCAACTGGATCCTGTAGGGGTCTTCAAAGGAATAATGGAGGTCTTCAAGCTATGACTATTCCAAAGAAGATTCTGATGGATGGGCCTAGTGCTGTGTCTGGTACTTAAATGAGAATACAGTAAGTAGTGGCTGTTGCCATTGTTTTTTTTACTAAACAATTCCTAATGTAAATTGTTCCTTACTCTGATAAAATAGTACAAGCTAAGAATTTGCCAATATTTATTTTTTGCTTCTGGTTATAATTATCCAGGTCTGATTAGCTACCGATAACATCATTGAAATTTCATGAGTCTGTAGAAGGAAGAAGTAATAACAAAGGTTCATGGTCCATGGTGATAGGAAAAAAGCTAGTAACTACTGAGTTAAAGCATCTTCTCGGGGGAAGAGCACTGGGTAAGGAATCAGAAGATCAAGATTCCAATGCCAGTTCACCCAAGAGCTCTGTGAGCTCAGACAGTCACGAAAACCCTTTGGACCCATTTCTCATTTATTCTTTGAAGATAATATCCTTCTATTCTACCACAAAGGGTTGTATAGATCAAATGATGTGTTCTGAAAATTATAAAGACCTATATAATACAAGGTATAGTACCTTTCTCTCTTTCCATACTAACAGTAAGTCTCAGTATACTTTCTATACCAATAACCACTAAAAATATGAGCCACTCCTATGAAGGAGGCAACTCAAAAAAGGCCTCAGCTGGTACCTTTTAGGGAAAACCACATGATATCGTAGATCAGCGGTCTTCCACTGGATTACCCGACCGCTTATGGTCTTTCCAAAGAGAAAACAGGCCTGCAGAGTTTTAAGAGACTCTTTCAGAGCCTCAAATCTTTCCTAAAATTGATCTGCCTGAGGGAGAACGCATGATCGCTAATGACCAAGGCTGAAGTCCTTTCTCAATTACTTCTCATCCATCCCAAATCTCATCAGGAGGCACTGATGACTGAGTTACAGATCCTTTCAATTCTTTGCTGCCAATAAAGTTGGAGGACTTCAGCAAGTTGCCAACTGACACACTAAAAATCAATTTTGGTTCTTGGCATATAATTTAGAAGGAATTCAAAGAATTCCTGCTCTAACAAAACTCCTTCCATTCCCATCTACTTATTTATGTGAACAAAGTTTCTTAGCATGAAAATAAAAAACGGGAACAACTGCTATTAAATCCTGTCTTTTTCTAGCAATAAGCAATATTCATTGATGGCTACATGACCTAATTAGAAAAATCTAAAAAAAACAAAACATCCATGTCATACAAAAGGCTTTTCCAATAAAATGTACTTTATGTAAAATAATTTTGTATCCACATTTTAATATATTTATGTTGTTTTGAGCAACTGTGAACTAATAATTGTAAAGATTAATTTTTTATGAATTAAGTCAGTATTTAGAAACTTACGGCCACAGGGAAATTTTTTTTTAATTTTATGTTTATATTTTTGTTGAAGAGAAGTATGACACAATGAGCCATAAAAGACTTTCAACTATAAAAATATTTTACACTAAAATACAATTCTGTGAGGAAATGGAAAGGAAATACAAGATGAAGAAGGAAAAACACGCGGTAAGAATGAAAGATTTATGACTGTTAAAAAAAAAAAACGGCGCGTGTATTTTTTAAACGGATAATTTTGTACACTAAATTGCTGTATTTAGATCTCATGTGGATACATTTAAAAATGATGTATCTGTTTTGTTTTAAAATGTCAATAGTTATAATTCATCGGAAATTAAACCTCTTACAATATAAATGAAAAACATTTTTAGATGTTACAGCAGAAACACGCCAAAGATTTCAGTTTTTCCAGTCTTTAGAGCCATGGTTCTCAAGCTCTGCTCCAAGGCACCATGGGCCACTACGGTGAACTCACAGAGGCACAGTGAGGGATAATTCAACTTTTTGAAGAAAATACAACATCTGTTGGACACTGTGTGAACTACTAACTCCAAGTTGTTTACCATTTCAACATTAGATCACCCTACATTCCTTTTGAGAACATCACATCTTTGCAAAGCTGAGTCCTCAATGATTGCTAAGACATAGACCATAAGAAAATCAATGTGTAATAGGAATGAGTGTGCAGGTGTCCAACCTGATTCCAAGATTTGAGACATTGTGCAGTACCCAACAGCACACACAGCTCATTAGTAAGTATGGGTGATTTAAGACTGAAATAAAAATATTTTCTCTTTTAATATATGGGTACTATTTATTCAAATGGCTACAAAGTTACGACGTAGATACTTACTAGGCTGTAGAGACCATTTAATTGCTTAATAAACTGAACTGTTCGGTGTTTCTTTTGGTCTAGGGTACTGTGAAAAAAATTACTGAGATGACTTAGTGTGCTGTGAACTGAGAAAGTTTGAGACCTCTGCCTTAAGAGGTATGGGAGCAAAAAAAGTTTGATGACCACAAGCCCAGAACGCCCCTTCAGTTATACCTGGAATTGCCGGCAGGTGGTGCTACCATGACTGAGTTGGCTAGAGAAGAGAACCTACTCAGTCCTCAAGGTCTAAAACACTCCAGAGTAAGGAAGTGTTCATGGACCAAATGAGAAATAAAACAGAAAGAGACCTTCAGATCACTTAGCCTAGTACTTTCCAAACTGTTTTAAAAAGCAACAGAATCCCCTTTCAAACAAAATCTTAAAATAAGTAAAAGCAGAACCACTTCTAAAGTGATCTTAGGGAGTTGAAGCCCTACAACAATCATACCTGACACAGGACAGAGGGCACCCTGGAGAACTCTGGTTCTAGGGAACACCTTATGAAAATCATTCATCTATATTAATCTCTTCGATTTCACAGAGTAAACCAAGGCTCATAATGGTCTGAGATCACATAGCCAGTTAGTGGCGGAGTTGGTTCTAGAATCTAGGTCACTTAACAGATCTGAAAAGACAGACTAAACTTTACATTTTATCCTACTGATCTTAAAGCCGGAAGGACTGGGGCTCTGTTCTACCACCTACTCCTGTGAGACCTTGGAAAAATCACTTCATATTGGGGACTTCAGTTTCCTCATCTGTAAAATGGAGAATTCATATTTAATTTACCTCATGGGGTTGTTGTAAAGATTAAACGAGATAACAGAATGAGAAAGGACTCAATGAACTATAAGAATATATGGGAGTTATATTGGTTGGGTCTAGATCAGAGTAACAGAAAGTACTGGGGGAAAGAAAAAAGATTTGGAAGCTAATGGATTTTTTAGTATTTTGACCTATAGTAAAATGAACTTTTGATCTACTCACAAGAACTCTTGGCCAATAGTTTGGTCCCTTGGGAGAGGGCACAGATTTTTGTGGTGACCTCCCAAGTGACATTCTTTACTAATCTCATCATTTCCTACTCTTTGCATCCCTCACCTTGCAAAGCCAACCCCTCTGCTGGTCCCACTGGTGTCTCGAAGGATTCGCGTAGAGATAACCTGGCCAAAGGGCTTCAGCATCCCCTCCAATTCTTGCTCATCCATTGACAGTGGGAGGTTTGAGATGTATAAATTTGTGGGGTCCTGCTCCTGTTGCTATGGGAATAAAAGTGAGAAAATGAAACTCCCGTCTCTTACCCCTCTCCCGTCCTCAGCCCTCATCCACAAAATGACATCTCAGAAAAGAGATAGCAGAAAGAGCCTCATATGAACAAAGAAAACCTTAACTATTGCAGCACCCTATCTCACTACCCTGGGTTGTATGTTGAGTCCAGCAAAAGAAGCAGATTCAATATTCCCAGAACTGTGCAAGTCCACAGTACATTGTCAATGGTGTTCTGACTGTCTCTTTAAGAACTAGGCAGAGCAACACCCCTTCCTCCTCCAACAGCCTGTCCCAGAGGCCGGATTCTCTTGGACTGCTTTGCTCCTTGGCTGGATTGTTTTGAGTGGCTCCCCCTCCCCCTCTTCCGGCCACAGCAGAATCCTCCAAGTAGGAATGTGTGTTCACTCCCTAATGGAGGGAAAGCAGGAAGAAGGGAGAGGAGGAAAAGGAAGGGCAACGTGCTGGGGCTGCACAAGGGCCAGATGTGCAGCTCACTGGGTCACCAGGAAGCCCTGAAAGCTCTAGTCTCCTAGGAACTCTGAAGGCTCCTAAATACTGTTGGGAGCCTCTCTCCAGGAGGAAGAAGGGAGAGCCCCCGCAGAGGGCAGAGTGTGGGAAGCAGCAATGTCTTCCTATAGCTGTATTTTTAGGAATTTAAGCAGTCACTCCGCCCTAGACACTGGGTCACCAGTAACCTTAATTCCTCTGTCCTCTTCAGGTCTTCCTTTGTATTTAACTATTACAGAAAAGGGTGGCTGGCAAGCCTGCCCCAGCAGCTCTACACATAGTATGTACAACGGCTTCAGAAAGGCAAAGGGGCAATCCCCACTTAAGAGAAGAAGGGAGAGAAAAATCGTTTCTAGTAGTCTAAATGGAAAGAGTAGCTCCAGGCAGAACTGAAGCTTCCTTTCCTGCTGTGGCTTCCCTCCTCATGCCAACACCCCACCCCTACAGGGAACAGTGCTGGGAGGTGGAGAGCATTGCTGTGAGTTGCACAATTGGCTTCTTCAGAGAACATTGCAAAACCACCACAAGCTGCCTGGCAAGGAAGTGGGGCCAAGGTGGAGATGCAGAAGATGCAGGAGGAAGGGAAGAAGCCTCTCGACTTTCTTACCTGCTTACAATAACGTCATGAGAGAAACAGAGTTGGCAGAGCTACGTGCACAGGCTTCGAGTATCAGCTTCCTCTAGCAGCTTCCTCTAGAGTGTTCAGTGGGACCCTGGCACAGCCTCCCTGTGGCCAGATGTAGTCAAAAAGCACTACAGATAGCCCTTGCCCATCCACTGCGTGGTTCTTAAGCTCTCTGGAAGCCTTGGAACTGGAACTCTGGGGCTAACCCTAACCCTCGAGGAACAGGCTGGGGCAGCACCCTTACCTTTGCCATCTGTGCCTGCACACCACTGGCTTTCAGCGCGGTTACAGCCTTCTGTGCTGCTGAAGGACTGTCGAAGTCCACAAAGCCATAGCCTGGAACAGGGAAAGCGTATCACTGAGAGGTAAGGGGCGGGGGAGGGGGGGAAGAAGGAAGGTCGGAGGCCAGGGCTTTCAGATGACGGAGGAAGAGTTATGATCTATACAACAGAAGTAGTAAGGAGAAAGAAAAATTCAGAGATTTCAGGTTGGTTATCCACATGCTCCTCAAACCCTGTGAGATTTGGTCAGTTTGATAGCTAAAAATGCCAAGGGCAATGAGGTCCTTGCGGTGACCCTGCCTTTCTCCCTCTCACCTCAACCTCCTTCCCTTTTAGGCCTCTAAAACTTCAGGAACTAGGCTCTTCTAAAAACTCACAAGCCTCCCTCCACACTTCTAAAAGAACCCCCTCCTCTCTTCCAGCCACACCTCAGAAATGCTAAGTATGCAGGGAATGTAACCTCTCCAGAACAGATAACCAGCCACCTGCTGGAAGAAGCCCCTCCCCAACCCAGCCTACAGACCTTTCCCCTCCTTCCACCCTTCCAGCCCCATCTAGAATTGCTCAAAATCCCAATAAAACTACTCATCCTCCGAAAATAACACCTTACCAAGTCACTGCCCTCCCACAGAAGGCATTTACATTGCTTTGCTAAGTAGAAACAATCTCACCCATCTCCACCACCCAATCCAGGGAAACACGAGGTCCAAAATAAGCCCAAAAGACTCAAAGGTGTTCTGTGCAATCTTCTGGCCTTGAGTCCCCAAATCACCATTTTCAGCTCTAACTATCTGGTCACCAAGGAATCTAAATGTCTCCTAGTCTTTTAAGCCTGAAAATCTCAGAGACTCCTCCCTGGCACTAGGTCCTCAGGACTCTCAGCAATAAAGGGCAGAGGCAGGACAGCTTCACTCACTGCTACTCTCCATCCCAAGGTCGGCTGGCTGTTCACTCACCTTTGCATTTGTTTGTGGTCTTGTCCAGTATGGCCTTTGTGGAGACAATCTTGCCATATCTAACGGAGAGAAAAAAGCAAAGTGACTAAGAATAGGACAGAGACTGAGACATCTAGACAAATCCATGTCCTTTTACTCTCCCACTAGGACAATGGTTCCTACACAAATCTTAATAAAAATAAAGAAGAAATTAATTTAAAATGCCACCTTTATCATATAAACCTATCCCCCAAGTGCCTACAAGAAAGATAACCATAGTCCTTATAATACCAACACATTTCTCTCTTCTTCCCAACTAAGACTCAGACACTAGTTGGAAAGAGACTATTACTGTCTTTTCGGGAAAGAAGCCTGGCGATGTCCACACTCACAGTGTTAAGGGCAGAGCTCTGGCTGGAATTCCTCGAGGACTAAACATAATCCTTGATATTACTTCTCTTCTTTTGGACAAACACTATCCCTCCTACAAAAAACCTATAGATCAGTGAGTTTAAGATAATGGTGGTGGAATAATTTGGAAAAAAGTAGCGAGAATAGTAGTACAATTTGAAGAATGTAATCAATGTCACTGAATTGTACATGTAGAAATTGTTGAGATTGTGTATCTTTGACTATGCATATTTTCACAAAAAAAAAAAAAAAGGCCTCAGCCCTGACAGTTTCAGGGGAGAATTCTACCAAACTTTCAGAGAAGAGTTAACATTACTACTACTAAAGGTATTTCAGAGCATAGAAAAGGATGGAATACTCCCAAACTCACTCTATGAAGCCAGCATAACCCTGATACCAAAACCAGGTGAACACACCACAAAAAAAGAAAATTACAGACCAATATCCCTCATGAACAATGATGCAAAAATCCTCAACAAAATTCTAGCCAATAGAATTCAACAACACATCAAAAAAATAATTCACCATGACCAAGTGGCATTCATACCAGGTATGCAGGGATGGTTCAACATTAGAAAAACAATCAATGCAATCCATCACATAAATAAAACAAAAGACAAGAACCACATGATCTTATCAATCGATGCAGAAAAGGCATTTGACGAAGTCCAACACCCATTCATGACAAAAACTCTAAACGAAGTAGGAATAGAAGGGAAATTCCTCAACATAACTAAGGGCATTTATACAAAGCCAACAGTGAACATCATCCTAAATGGAGAGACTTTGAAAGCATTCCCCTTGAGAACAGGAACCAGACAAGGATGCCGTTCATCCCCACTCTTCTTTAACATTGTGCTGGAGGTCCTAGCCAGAGCAATTAGGCTAGAAAAAGAAATAACGGGCATCCAAATTGGTGAGGAAGAAGTAAAAGCTTCTCTATTTGCACATGATATGATCTTATACACAGAAAACCCCAAAGAATCTACAAGAAAACTACTAGAACTAATAGAAGATTTCAGCAAAGTATCAGGATACAAGATGCACATAAAAAAATCAGTTGGATTCCTCTACACCAACAAAGAGAACCTTGAAGAGGAAATCATCAAATCAATACCATTTACAGTACCCGCAAGAAGATAAAATACTTAGGAATAAATCTAACCAGAGACATAAAAGATCTATACAATGAAAACTACAAGACACTACTGCAAGAAACCAAAGGAGACCTGCATAAGTGGAAAAACATACCTTGCTCATGGATAGGAAGACTCATCATTGTGAAAATGTCAATTCTACCCAAAGCGATCTATAGATACAACGCAATCCCTATCCAAATTCCAATGGCATTTTTTAAAGAGATAGAGAAACAAATCACCAACTTCATATGGAAAGGGAAGAGGCCCCGGATAAGTAAAGCATTACTCAAGAAGAAGAACAAAGTGTGAGGCCTCACATTACCTGATTTTAGAAACTATTATACTGCCACAGTAGTCAAAACAGCCTGGTAGTGGTACAACAACAGATACGTAGACTAATGGAACACAATTGAGAATCCAGACGTAAATTCATCCATCTATGAGCAGCTGATATTTGACAAAGGCCCAAAGTCTGTTAATTGGGGAAAAGATAGTCTCTTCAACAAATGGTGCTGGCATAACTGGTTATCCATCTGCAAAAAACTGACACAAGACCCATACCTCACAGCATACACAAAAACTAAATCAAAATGGATCAAAGACCTAAATACAAAATCGAAAATATTAAAGATCATGGAAGAAAAAATAGGGACAATGCTAGGAGCCCTAATACACGGCATAAACAGAATACAAGCCATAAGTAACAATTCACAAACACCAGAAGAGATAACTAGATAAATGGGAGCTCCTAAAAATCAAACACTTATGCTCATCAAAAGACTTCACCAAAAGAGTCAAAACACAACCTACAGACTGGGAAAAATTTTTTGGCTACAACAAATCCGATCAGCATCTAATCTCTAAAATCTACAAGATACTGCAAAACCTCAACAACAAAAAAAAACCCAATTAAAAAATGGGCAAAGGACATAAACAGGCACTTCGCCAGAGAAGACATTCCGGCAGCTAACAGACACATGAAGAAATGCTCATGATCATTAGCCATTAGAGAAATGCTAATCAAAACTACAGTGAGATAGCATCTCACCCCAACAAGGCTATCATTAATCCAAAAAACACAAAATAATAAATGTTAGAGAGGTTGTGGAGAGACTGGAACACTTATACACTGCTGGTGGGAATGTAAAATGGTACCACCACTTTGGAAATCGATTTGGCTCCTCCTTAAAAAGCCAGAACTAGAAGTACCATATGTGATCCAGCTATCCCACTGCTTGGAATATATCCTAGAGAAATAAGAGCTGTCACACGAATAGATATATGCACACCCATGTTCATTGCAGCACTATTCACAACAGCAGAAAGATGGAAACAACCTACGTGCCCATCAACAGACGAATGGATAAACAAATTATGGTATATTCACACAATGGAATATTACACGACGATAAAGAACAACGATGAATCCATGAAACATCTCATAACATGGAGGAATCTGGAAGGTGTTATGCTGAGCGAAATTAGTCAGTCACAGAAGGATAAATATTGTATGAGATCACTATTATAAGAACTCAAGAAAAGGTTTAAACACAGAAGAAAACATTCTTTGATGGTTACGAGGGTGGGGAGGGAGGGAGAGAGTTATTCACTAACTAGATAGTAGACAAGAAGTATCTCACGTGAAGGGAAGGACAGCACACACTACAGGGGAAGTCAGCACAACTGGACCAAACCAAAGCTAAGAAGTTTCCTGAATACAACCAAACACTTCGAGGGACAGAGTAGCAGGGGCCGGGGACCATGCTTTTCAGGGGACATCTAGGTCAACTGGCATAACAAAGTTTATTAAGAAAATGTTCTGCATCCCACTTTGGTGAGTGGCGCCTGGGGTCTTAAAAGCTAGCAAGCGGCCATATAAGATGCATCAATTGGTCCCAAACCACCTGGAACCAAGGAGAATGAAGAACACCAAAGACACAAGGAAAGTATTAGCTCAAGAGACAGAAAGGGACACATAAACCAGAGACTCCATCAGCCTCTGACCAGAAGAACTAAATGGTACCTGGCTACCACAATGACTGCCCTGAGAGGGAAAGCAACAGAGAGTCCCTGACGGAGGAGGAGAAAAGCGGGATGCAGAACTCAAATTCTAGTAAAAAGACCAGACTTAATGGTCTGACTGAGACTGGAGGGACCCCAGAAGACATGGCCCTCGGACTCTCTTTTAGCCCAGAACTGAAACCAATCCTGAAGCCAACTCTTTAGACAAAGATTAGACTGGACTTTAAGACATAAAATGATACTCGTGAAGAAGAGTGCTTCTTAGCTGAGGTACATACATGAGACTAAATGGGCAGCTCCTGTCTGGGGCGAGATGAGAAGGCAAAAAGGGACAGGAGCTGGCTGAATGGACAGGGGAAATCTGAGGTGGAAAGGAGGAGTGTGCTGTCACATTATAGGGAGAGCAACTAGGGTCACATAACAATGTGTGTACAAATTTCTGTATGACAGACTAACTTGAACTGTAAACTTTTACTTGAAGCACAATTTTAAAAAAATTATAAAGAGAAAAAACAAAAAACCTATAGACATTTCTCTGACACCTCATTCCTCCCCTCCTACCCCAACCTCTCCTGACCCCTCTCTGTCGAAGGTCAGCCTGAGCCAAACTGCTTTGGTTCAAAACCTGGTTCTGCCACTTTCTAGCTATGTGTGATCTTTGGGCAAGTCATTTAACCTCTCTGTGCCTCAATCTTCTCATCTGTAAAATGGAAATAGGATTGTTGAAACATAAAATGAGTTAACAAATATAAAAAACACTAATATCAGCCATATGGTAAGCACTTGAAAAGTCTTAACTGCTATTATTATTGTTATTATTTTCCAGGGACCTCAACTTTAATCTACTACAAATGGCTTTCTCCCACCTCATCATATTCTAAGACATCTACTTTTCATTGTCAAGATCTGAGTGTTACCTATGTTCATGGCAGCATTGTTCACAATAGCAAAATGATGGAAACAACCTAGATGCCCATCAACAGATGAATGGGTAAACAAACTATGGTACATACACACAATGGAGTACTATGCAACAAGAAAGAACAACAATGAATCTGTGAACCATCTCATAACATGGATGAAACTGGAGGACATTCTGCTGAGTGAAATAAGTCAATCACAAAAGGACAAACACTGTATGAGACCTCTATTGTAAAAAC